TTCTAATCAATAAACTTACGTCCAGTATACGGCACAAATGTTTAACTTGTTTTATTATTTTCAAGGACCAGGGTAAAATATTCTTCTGATTCAGGCAATTTTCATTGAATCCAGATTTGTACTACGATGTAACTTTAAAATGTTTATTTATCTATCTATGTCAATTATCATACAACGAAAGATCCCTATTCACATATACGACGACTAATCACAATCGACCCGTATAGAAATGATATCATCGAGAGCGAATGACGAATCATTGGCACTCCTTATGTGGTGGTGCCATCTATGAAATGCTGAAGGATTTAAAATTATATATCTATAATGATGAAGGTTTTCTTACATGTCGTGGCTATCTTATAAAAAGCCCTGTAGGGCGAGACTGTGGCATCACCAGGAACGTAGTCACCCAAGCCGATGGTTGTCAATGAGATAAAACAATAATAAATAGAGTCCAGATAATCCCATTCTGGTTCCAGGTAATTGAATATTGTTGCAGGAATGAAGAAAAAGAACACCAGGACGAAAGATACTGAAAAGAAAATTAAAATTTAGAACTAGTGGTGTATGGCATCGTGCCTTAAGGCAAATTGCTGAAACTTCCCACGTACCGTAATAAAATATTCGAGAAATTTTAAACGTGGTATTACAAATACTGTAACTTTCATTATTTTTGCTATCTTGTTTGTTATATCTGAGCGAATCAAATGTAAATCATAAATCAATTTATCTCTAGAATTAAATTTCAAAAAAATAGTTGCCTAATTTACACAAAATAGAAAAAGTGCTCCCGTATAGTAACATTCTAAACGCATTTGGAAATAATTCTGTGCGACATTTTCATTTATACTGTGCTTAGCTTGGCGGCATTTTCACATTTTTCTATAAATAGTTTTCACAAAATTGGAAAAGTGCTCCAGTACATAAACAGTCTAAAAGCACTTGGGTAAACATTTGTACCAGAGTGGCGCTTAGACTGTGCTTAGCCTAGGCAATTTTTTGAATTTTTGTATTTAGTATTTTTTATCATCAACTCTATTTTACCAGACATGAAAATAAAAAGGACTCTGCTGACAAGCAAACTATATTTTGCATTATATGAACTGACGAGCAAACTGAAATACTCGTCTGCTAGTCAGTAAAGTCCCTTTTTATATATTTTAACTTTTGCTCGTCAGTAGGGTCCTTTTATTGATTCTAGATTAGTTTGCTCGTTAGTAGAGTCTCTTTTTTAATTCTAGATTAATCTGCTCGTCAGTAGAGTCCCTTTTTTAATTCTAGTTCAAGTTTGCTCGTCATTAGAGTCCCTTTTTAATGTTATTTTTAGATTGCTCGTCAGTAGAGTCCCTTTTTTAATTCTAGATTAGTTTGCTCGTCAGTAGAATCCATTTTTTAAATTCTACATTAGTTTGCTCGTCAGTAGAGTCCCTTTTTTAATTCTAGATTAGTTTGCTCGTCAGTAGAATCCATTTTTTAAATTCTACATTAGTTTGCTCGTCAGTAGAGTCCCTTTTTTAATTCTAGATTAGTTTGCTCGTCAGTAGAGTCTCTTTTATAATCCTAGATTAAGTTTGCTCGTCAGTAGAGTCCCTTTTTTAATTGTACATTAGTTTGCTCGTCAGTAGAGTTCTTTTTTTAATTCTAGATTAAGTTTGCTTGTCAGTAAAGTCCCTTTTTTAATACAAGATTAGTTTGCTCGTCAGTAGAGTCCCTTTTTTAATCTAGATTAGTTTGCTCGTAAGTAGAGTCCCTTTTTTTAATTCTAGATTAGTTTGCTCGTCAGTAGAGTCCCTTTTTTAATTCTAGATTAGTTTGCTCGTCAGTAGAGTCCCTTTTTTAATTCTAGACTAGTTTGCTCGTCTGTAGAGTCCATTTTTTTAAATTCTAGATTAGTTTGCTCGTCAGTAGAGTCCATTTTTTAATACTAAAAATGCGGACATACAAAACACACACACACATCCATTTAGTTTTTGAGGTATGCCGCTTAAAAATGTTCAGAAACCTTGAAAACGTCGAGAAATGCAAAATTTTTCGTTTTCGATTTTCGGTCCATTACTAGAACTACCCTACGGGAAGTTAATTAAGGGGCGTCCATTAATCCCCTTGGTGATACGTGGTGATATTCCAAATTTTTTCATCATTTAAAGATACAACTCTTGCTTGAACAATTGTATTGGTAAAATATTTTTAATGACACGGATCTGGTGTCGAAACGTACACGAACAAATATAATTTATAACTTTGCACTCGATCGATTTATTCGGAAGGTTGTTGATCTTACGAAACTGGTCTTTAAACCGAACCCAAACTAAATATTGTAGATAATTCGTTGTCTCCCGCGATGCTTTTGTTTGCCCAACGATCCGAAAATTATCTGGAATTACTCTGAATAGTAAATAAATATTGTATTGTTTAATTTGGACAATGGTGTTTGTGTTGTAATAATCACGGTGTGAAATGTAAAGGAGCACAAAAAATTAGATCGTTGATCGAAAATTATCTTATATATAAAAATGGAGCTCTCGATAAAATGATCCGCTAAAACTCGAAAACGGCTAAACCGATTTGGCCAGTCTTAGTCTTGAAAAATTCGTGCTAATCAGTAGGTTGTCGGAAAGGTGAGATATTATTTCAAATCCGCGTAGAAACTTTACATTTTTAATTTGAACATTTTTGTAGAAGCGTAATTTAAATAAAACAATGGACGGTGGCTAATACGTCAAATGTCAAACATTTTTAACAGATGATGTTTAAAAGGATGTTTTAGGTGAATATTATTTAATTGTAGTAAGTAGTTTTGTTTGTAGTTTTATTTATACACAAAAACGCAATTAAACGGGCCTTAAGTGTTACTAGAAATTCAAAATATCAACTTTTTTGAAGTGTTAATATGAAAATGCACTTCTTGGCATGTTTTTCTCAAACACGGTGCTCTGAAAGATCTCATTTGTATAATTATATACTCATTGGTATTTATAAAACATTTTCCAGGTTATATTATTTTTTATTTATGTTATTTAAATTCAGAACCTAAATTTGGTATCGACCAAAGGGACATTTTGTCGAATAACAATTTTCCAGTTATAATTTCCCAGAATTTATCGAAGAATAGATAAAAATATATGAAAGTTCGGGGTTAAAAAAGTCCAACACCAATGTGTCAAAAACCACTAAAGTTAAGCATTGTTTAACAACAATATTTGAAAGTAGAGGGAAAAAGATGTATAACCAGCTATAACCTTGATTCTTATAATTCTGCCACCGGGAGATATACGGTAATTTTTGGAAAACCATAATAAAAGTATTTTCTTCCATTGGTAGTTTTTCAGCATTAGTTAATAATGTAATTATTTTGTAAAATACCTTTAAAATTAAAATAAGACATTAAACCTGTTTGCCACCTGGCCATTCCAAGTTACCCCGCCTATAGGATAAAAAGGGTCTAGATAACAAATTTTTGAAAGACAGCAAAAAGGCACATTTCTATAATGATGAAGTAGCTAACAGTTTTACTGAACGTAGTCAGATGATTGTTCGTTTGAAATGTGTTATTTGTTGGGATATAATTGTTATGCTTTTCACAATATAGTTTATATTTGTTCAAAGTCAAATTGGACCTTTGTACCTCGCCCTGCTCTACATATATACTTTTTATTAAATTTACTTTAATTCATCGAATGTTACTTGAAACTTTTCAAAAAGCAGGTCAAAGAAGAAATACTTGATTCATTTTCTATCTCTCCTCGCAGAAATTTGAAAATTTTGTTAAAGCTCAGTAGTATTATTTACAATTATACACAAAATTCAGAATCCAAAAAGAATCTGAAAAACTTGATACGTAATCAATAAGTCGAAAGACCACAAAAGACTTGGATGGATTATACCATGTTTTCTATAGAAAGTGTATAAAACTTCCAGTTTACATATAGAAATAATATTATTTATAATATTTATTTTTATAAAAAAAGCTTTAACACAAATACGTAAAAAATTAGGTTTTTAATTTTTTCTTTTGACAACGTCATATCAAAACTTTAACTTTAATGATAATTATATATTCACTATTAATAGTTATTAACTTTATATACCGTTACATGTATGCTACATATGTATTTATACGTTCTATATCATAATTTTCAATTTATCTTATAACAGGAATTTTTAAAAACAAATATTTATCACTTCATTGCCTTTTTTCTCCACTTTGTGTTTTTTGAAGTTAGCCACTGTGTCCACTAAATGGCTCATATGGTAATTACCGACTTTTAAAATCATAATCAAAAATATGTTATTGAAATCAGGAATAAAATTTATAATATAGTATATAAAAACACTAATTATAAGAGTTTGTTAATAAATCAGATTAAAATGAAATACTAAAGTTTATTAATTATTTTGTGTAGGAGAGCTAGGTGCCGTATGTAACGGGGGTAACTACCTCATTTGTATATAGCATTCAAACAACACATCCTTATACACTTAAAGTATTAATATTTTTGATACTCTAGAAATTGTTTAGAAAATACCGAATCTTACTTAGCAAAACAACGTTTGCCGGGTCAGCTAGTATATATATAATTGTTTTACCCTACCGTATAACATCAAATGCAACAGTCTGACCCCGAACGGCCTGCACCGTCCGGCCAGCCTGGTCATCAGGAGCCTCAGGAAGCCCCTGGCAGGGGTCAGCATTCGCTCGACAAGGGCGGAAAACAAAACCAGGGTTAGAGGGATTCCTGCACAGCCGTAGAGCATGCAGAAGATTTTGCCCGATTGGCTCACCGGACTGACCTGACCATAACCTGGAGAAAAGGATAAAATTAGTAGCTAAACTAATAAGGAAAAACATGAGCTTATCATTGTTTTTATGAAATATCAATTTACTGACAATTTGTATGTAAATGTTGATTTGCAAGTAGAAGTGTAGTATATATATATATAATATATATATATATATATATATATATACTAGATGACCCGACAGACGTTGTCCTGTACCCACATCTACATTTTTTGTGTGATTTATTAAGATATTAATTTATATAATTTTGGTCATTTCATTTATTTTGTTAAAATCTATATTTTTGAAGATATTAGCAAACAACGCTTTTAATTTTTTTTTAACATTTAGTTAAAAAATAATAATCTGTCAAATTGAATTTTAATATAGGGTATGTAATTACATTGAACTGACATTTCACAACCGTGAGACGCATGCGCAGAACTGCGTCACTTGTCAGACGCATGTCGACTTTATTTTATTATATTATTTTAATTTTCGGCACATCTCAGCTGCTTTTCGGCAATAATAATGTAGACATTACATTCTCCTTATTTATAATCATGAATTTATTATATTTTTAATATTGCCTTAGCCTATAAGTGAATAGAAATGTTTGGCAAATGACAGTCTTCATTTGTTTTTAATGTCAAACTAAGCTTCCAATAATAAGCGGTTTTTTGTAATTTTATGCATTTATTTCTACAATCTAACTATATTTCTATGAGTCTAAAAATTCTAGAAAATTTCCCGAACAAACTTCCGGAAGATTTATGAAAATCCGAATTATAGTTTAGGAGGATTAATCATTCATACATAGTTACAGAAGAATTTTATATATTAGATTTATATATATATACTAGCTGACCCGACAGACGTTGTTCTGTACCCACGTCTACAATTTTTCAATATTTTATACTAATATTTACTGCTTAGTTAAAAAATAATAATTAGTGTTTTTTTAATTACTATTTACACCAATATATGAGTGATGTTGAATGTAGAACTGTTTCAAATAAAATGATTGTTCTCAATTCCCACAGTTAACACTTTAATTATTCATTTAACAAATATTACAAAATGTTCAATAAAATTGTATATTAAAAATTATACACTGCGATTTATAGAACAAACTTATTTCCAGTAGCTCAATTTATTTTATTGCATTTAAAGGTTATATAGTATTTTTAGTCATACCTGTAGATGTGGATGTATAAATGAATGATTTTTTGTTTATTCACAACTAAAACATTGATTTTCCAGATTTATCACACTAAAAATACAATATACACGTATTGAAAATTGAAATCTTTTAAAAAGTACAATAAATTCAGAAAGAATTAATATATAGCATTCGCGGCAAAGGTGCAATATCATCTTTTATTTTTCTACCCAAAATAATTGCTTTAATAATGCTGCCAATAATTTTTATAATTTCGTACTATATTTTAACTGGATTTTAGTAATTTTAATATCTAAATTACATTTTTTTCTCCAATAAATCAATATACATTATTGCTTAAGTTTATATTTGAAGTGAATTAGTTTGTCAAATCCTGTTCACATGTGCTCTATTCAACTTACGATCAACAAAATTATTGCTCTGTGAATTTTTTTACTGTGCTCCAATTTATTTGATATTTTGGAAATAGGCTAATCTTTATCTTAAGTTCAGAAGTGAAATCAATTTGCACTCCGTCACCATCCACCGCATTAATTGGATTATTACCCTTTTAATTCTGAATTTATCAGAACTTGTAATACACTATTTTAAAGGTGATTAAATGATCTACAACTTTCTCTATCATAAATTTTACCGTAACTTCTCTTATTGTGAAACGGCGAAGGGTTAAAGGGCTCGAAAGACCTCTGGTTGGACAGCCGCGCAGTCCTTGTTCAATACCTCTAACAATATTTGTGTAATGGAAAAATAATGAACAATAAGAGATATTATAATGAGAAATTGGATGTTTTTTTAATGTTTTTTTTTCATAAAATCATGAGTTTTTTGAAAATCGTTTGTACTAAAGTTGTGATATTTTCTAGAATCCATCAAAACCAAGTTAATTCTAGATGAAATACGATTATTTTTAAATTTGGTGGAAATGGCACTGAAAAACTATTTGATTTAAATGAAAAAACATTATAAGCGTCTTTTATTTGCATGATAGTATACTCATTTTACACGCAGAAGTACTCATTTTAAAGCTTATTTTGAGCACTATAAAAACCCATTTTCATATCTAGCCTAATAATGTTCCTAAAACACTATAAAATAGCGATTTATTAAGATTTTAATTGATATAATTTTGTTCATTACATGATTGTCGTTAAATTGTATATTTTTGAAGATATTAGCAAAAAATGATGAAAAACGCAAAAAAGAAACAAATTTTCAGTAGCCAGTAACTTGAAAAGTATATGCTTTTTTGAAAAACATTTTTCTCTTATAATTAGTTCTTTTATCGATACCCAACGTTATTTTGAAAAAAAGTAAAATTACACCACTAAAAAGAAATGTCATCCACTCGAGAAGTGGTAAAGGAGTCTAAATTGTTTTCACTTCTGAAGAGTAAGATGAACCTAGTTCCAAAATTCCAAACGAAATGGAAAACAGTAAAAAAAAGTTCAGACCGAAAGCGCTCCATTGAGTAAATATTGTGACTTAGTATAGTAAGGCAAAACGACCGCAAGTTGAATATTTTTGAGCGCAATCACTTATGGCTCATCGAATTCGTACGGCGAATCTGTTCGCAAAGTGCGCAAACAAAATTATTGCAAGCAAAAGCAAACCACGCGCACGTTGAGAACACGATTCGCCGTGCGCGTCAGTCGCATGCGCAGACTGTCTGACGTATGTTATATTATTTGCATCTTATATTATTTTAATTATGGCACATCTCAGCTGCTTTTCGACAATAATAATGTAGACATTACATTTTCTTTATTTTTAATCATGAATTTATTATATTTTAATATTGCCTTAGCCTATAAGTGAATAGAAATGTTTGGCAAATGACAGTCTTCAATTGTTTTTAATGTCAAACTAAGCTTCAAATATTTTCAAGGGCAAACAATGATAAGCGGTTTTTTATATTTTTTTCTATTTATTTCTACAATCTAACTATATTTCTATGAATCAAAACATTCTAGAAAATTTCCCGAACAAACTTCAGGAAGATTCGTGAAAATCCGAATTATAGTATAGGAGGATTAATGAAACTTACATTGTTACAGAAGAATTTTATATATAGATATATATATTAATATATATATATATATATATATATATCTTTTACCTATGGTGGTGATGATGGTGCTGGAGAAAAACAGGGACTTGGCAAATGTCCAATTAGAGTCACCAGTTGCGTTTTTGACGGCGGACACACCATTGTCGCTGGCTGCCAACACTTTTCTTATCAGCGTTTCTAAAGCAGCCTCTGGAATGGAGAATAAAACTATTTCAATAATTCTATATTAACTAAGAAAAAATTAAAGAAAAAACAACCTATTGATTTATAAGTATACTATAAGTAATTAGGGCTCTCATTGAAGAGTCTCCTAAACAAGCCACATTTGTGAACTCAATTTTGAGTTCAAATAGCTTATAGAATAATAAGAATGTGATTGATATTATATTTGCAAATAAAAAAAAATCTATATTTATAATAAATGTTTTGGTCCAAATTATATCCATCCGAAGTCAAGCAACTATCAGGAACAATTTTTATTAACGTATAGTTAATAAAAATATAATAATAGTCATAGTCATAGATTTCTCTCAAAGAGAACCTTAGGTTTACTCATCTTGGATTTTAATGAAATTTTGCACGATGATATTGTCGATAGTTAAACGCAACACCTTAAAATATTATAGGCCTATGAGAAGTGGTTTAAACATAAAAACTAGTGGTATATGGTATCGTGCCTTAAGGCAAATTGCTGAAACTTTCTGTACCTAAATAAACCAAACCTTTAAAATGAATGACATTGCCTCATATTCTAATTATTGTCTAATTAAAAACTAGTGGTGCATGATATCGTGCAATAAAATATCGAAAGAATATTGAATGCTTTCAAATATATTTTTACTATAATTTTCGTTATTCGTATTTTATAGTCAAAATATAAGAGCTTATGAATTGGACGACGATGTTTACATAAAAAGTAAATAAGCAAAGTTCTATCAATCGAATTTAAAATGAAGGACATTGCCTAATATTTAATAAGAATTATATAAACTAAACTGATCTTGATAAATAAAATTATTTATTTGAAGTATAAATGATCTTTAGAACTTTAGCTAGAATTAAAATTAAATTTCAAATTATTCTTGATATTCAAAAAAATATATTTTTGGAAACAATATTAATCGATTTTTTCACACATCCACTTTTTTCTAAGGTATGTCAAAATGTTCAGAAACCTCTGAAACGTGAAGAAATGCAAAAAATTTCAATGTCGATTTTTGGAAGATTACAATAACTTACCCTACGGGAAGTTAATTAATTACACAAAAATTGATATATTTGATTCATTACATATATTATTAACTACCCGTAGAGTAAGTTATAGTAATCGCAAAAAAATCGAAAATATTTTTTTTATATATTTTTTACGTTTCAAAGGTTTCTGAACATTTTGGCATAACTTAAAAAAAATGGATCTATGTGCATGTGTCGAAGATTTCAGGAAAACGGTTTAACCGAAAACCTTCGATTCCTATTGATAAGGAGACGTGTTGATTAGTTTTTGGTAAAGGCAGGTCTAGCCGTTCCGGAGATACTGGGCAAAATGTACCAAAAACAGTAACTCGGTTTTAAAGAGATTTTTTTGATTTTAATAATTCAAAAAACATTTTATTTGTATTGACAAGATGAAAAATTGATTAAATTTTTGAGAAAGCAGGTCTAGCGGTTTCGGAGATCTAGTAAAAAAAGTACAAAAAAATGCCATTTGGCGGTCAAAAATGATCATTAGACATATGCACATCAAATTATCAGATTTTTTATAGAGATTTTAATAATACGAATAAATTTTGTTTGCATTTCTATGAGTTCCGTACCAATGTTTATCAGTTAGACGGCGACGCGGCGCTTACGCGCTCCGATATTTCATCTTTATGCAGCTAAAACAGTACGAATGCTTTGAAAAAGAGATCAAAATTTCCAAAATACTTCAAAATAAAAAAATAATTTTTTTTTAGAAGTCTTTTTAAAAAACCTAATTTTTTCAAAGTTTAAAAAAAAAAATAATAGTTTTTAAAAAAATTATTTTCGGTATGGGAGGTTCAACCTTACCCCACTAGTTCATTAGTATTAATAATACGTTTTACTTTTCTATTAATAATGTTGCCCTTATCGCTCTTGCGTATATCGTTAGTTAAAATTATATTTTATTGATCTTATCGTAAAATCTTTAAATATTATTACTTCGTTTGTTGACGAGATCTCTTATCTCTGAAGAGCGTGTCTGAAATTTAAGTTGTTCCTGATAGGTGCATATAATATAAATAATTGTGTAAACAATTTTCTATGACGTCAATGGAGGTACCGATAAGATTAAAATACGTAAAACACCTTTTATCTCGGTTTCGGTTTCAAAACTTACAAGATTGTGATATCAAAAATAAAAAAGGAAACTATTATTAGATTATTGTAAAGACTCTTTTACTAACATAATAAGTTAGTATTATTTTCGTCGTTTTCGTGGTCCAATTTTGAATCTTCCTCAACAATGGTGTCAACGATTCTTCTAAATGCGACAACAATGTAGCATTGTATTTAATTGCATTTATATAGTGGACTTTTGATATGATACGGGCCCCATTTTCTACTCTTATCATAAACATTATATACATATATATTATTATAATTTTTATCACAAAAGTAGTGAGTCGTGTCGATGATGACGCACGACGAACTCAAATGATACATGAAGATATCTAGTTCAAAAAATGAAATAATTATACGAGAAAAAATTCAGGAAATTGAAAGCATGGGGCGCAAAGGAAAAGGGACTCTACTAACGAGCAAATTGATTGCTGAACGACTCGTTAAAATGAGAAAGAATTTGAAAGTTAAAAGACTTTACTGATGATCCAATTGAACCGTGCATTGCAAAATTAATTAGAAACATTCTAATATATATTCCCATAACCATTATTATTTTCCTGTAGCCTAAGTTATAGCAATCGGCCAAAAATCGAAAATGAAAATTTTGGCTTTATACCTTACAAACAAAAATTATGTGTATCGATACAAATTTTCGTCCACGATTTTGCGAGCACGGATCAACGATTTGAATGATTAATTTACCATTCGATTTCAATTGACGAAGAGACGTGCTGATTAGTTTTCGGCAAAGACAGGTCTAGCCGTTTCGGAGATACGGAGCAAAGAGTGCAGAAAATAGAAATTAAGGTTTTGAGAGCGGAGCGTCCCTTGTATGTATTAATGAAATGAAGTATTGATTGAATTTTTGCAAAGGCAGGTCCAGCGGTTGTGGAGATCGAGAACAAAACTTAAAAAAATGTCATCTGCTGATCGAAAATTAGATATTTTAGCCAGTAAGAATCAAACCACATGACTGGGTATAAACATCTTTCAACAAATTTCAAAATTTAAAAAAATCGAATAATATTAATAATCAATATCTTCAAAAAAGCACTTTTTAAATCTTTTCAACCGATTTTGGCATACCTCAGAAAAAAATGGAAGTGTGTATGTATGTATACAAACTTCGTTCACTTTTTCTATGCACTATGCACGGATCAACCGATTTGAATGGTTCAAGAAACATTCGATTCCTATTGATAGGGAGATGCGCTGATTAGAATAGAAATCGTGTTTTTTGCGAGAACGGAGCATCCGATTCAAATATCCAAAAAACATTCAATTAGCAATGATTGGGAGAAATGGTTATTAGTTTTTGGCAAAGGCAGGTCCAACCATTTCGAAGATACAGAGCTACATGTACAAAAAATGGCGGTTTTTGAGAAAACTAACCATCTGATTTTAATGATTCAAAAAACTTTCTGCTTATTAATTCTGACTAAAGTTTTAAAGCTTACTTATATACTTTAAACAAATAATTTCAACTCTGCAATTTAGTTTATATAATTCTTATAAATATTAGACAATGTTTCTGTATTTATAATCTATTTGAAAACATTTAATATTCCTCGATCATTTAGCTACGGTACGGAAAGTATCAGCAATTTGCCTTAAAGCACGATGCACCACTAGTTTTTTTTCTGAATATCGAAAATAATTCCAATTTAATTTTTTTCTAGCTATATTTCTAAAGTTCACTTATATACTTAACATAAATGATTTTAACTTTGCAATTCAGTTTATATAATTCTTATAAATATGAGATAAGGTCCTTTAATTCTAAACCGCTTAATTGAGTTTTGTTTATTCACTTTTCATATGTAAGTTAAAGTATTTAAAATAAGAAAATATTTACTATTCTCTTAGTTTCAGCAATTTGCTTTAAGACACGATGCCATTCAGCACTAGTTTATGTTCTCATAACAAGTACCTGCCTTCGTAAAAGTAGTCTGAAAATGACAATAGATGTCTCTCCATCCAATTTTAAAAAATGGAAATCCAACTAGTTGTAATTTATATAATACAAATACATTTTATTATTGTCGACATATTAAAAATTTCATAAGTTATCATGAATATCGATATTAAATAAAATATATATAATGATAAGATTATTTCAACAGTAAGATTATCCATTTTTATTACCAACTATCACTTCCAACATAAAATTAGAACAAACAAAAATTTAGTTTCAAGTAATTCAGTTTATGACTGTGGAGACATTTTGGAATTTGCAAATATCTACAAATATCAACTATTGCATCCGTTTTAAATTATTTTTTATCTTAGTTACATTTATATCTTAGAATTGTTAGTCGTAGCCATAGCCCTAATATAGGTTCTAGTTGAGCACCGCCGATTCGTACGTCGGGACCATGTATTTAATATTGATGAAGGCGTCTTCGCCGCCGTAGCGTTCCAAAATCTGCAAAGTCTCCAGGATCAGATCGCCGACCCTTTCGCCCTTGGAGTAAGCAAAATCGATCTCATCCAGAAGATTGACGTTGTCCTCTATGAACATGTTGCAAACTGGTAAGATTTGCCTGTAGTAAGGGACAAGGGCCTGTCCGATGCGCTCTTCGGCGGTCACCAGATGCTGCAAAACCCTCAAAGTTGTGCACATGACATCGGCGTTGCGGGTGTTGAAAGCTTTTTTTATGGGTAGAATCAATTGGGGCAGCACCGGAAAGACTTTTTCTGGTGCAGCTTCCACCATGTCGAAGATGCCTTGGCGTGCAAAAAACTTGTAAGGATGCTTCACCTCGCACAATCCGTCGAAGAACATAGGTAGATAATGGTGGTAGTCCAGTTTCTCCGGTTTGACTTTCCACGCGATCTGGTTGCGATTTGCACAGAACTCGATGGCTATCGGAAAGTCACCACGTTGGTAGTATTTTCTAAACAAAGACGGCGGCGGAGACTCCTGGCGCGCCAGGCCCGAACTCGGGGGGCGCAAAACTCTCGTATTTCGCTGCAAAGCTTGTATGGTAAAAGCCGGCACCACACGTTTCGAAGGACCACATTTCGCCGACGGCATGCACCGACGCAAAGAAATCCTGTATTCGCGTCCTGTCACCATTTTGTATCGTATTGCAATTGACGGCTGTCAAAATTTTTCACTAAATCACATCACGGGCTTCATTAGAACACTGTCGGGGTTTCGGGGTATGTCGGTTTTTGAAAATGGAAATTAGTTTATTTTTTGGACCGGTTATGGGATTTTTTTTAGAAAGTTGAAGTATACTGTTTATTTTGATGACATATCGCGAGTGGCCTACTTTGCTGTTTGGTCGATACTAGTTGAATATTTAGCGCTCGGGGCGGACGAAGGGCTGACTTTTGCCTTTTATATCGTTTTGTATCGGGTTTTAAATGAAATTGCGCAGAACAATTACTGGGGGGAAGAAAATAGTGGAACCTGGGGGCGATAGAAATCTATATATATATACAAATACACGCACAGGTATATTACATATATTTGTATATATATTCTTGAAACGTTAGCAGCCAATAAGTTGAAAATGAAATAATTATAAACCAGTGGTGTATGGTACAGTGACTTAAGGCAAATCGATGAAACTTTCCTTACTAAAAATTAAATTTTTTAAAGGTTTAAATAATGAAAAATTAGATTTATTTGCAGAATATTAATTTTTTTCAAACATTTTTAAAAATTAATTTTAATAACACATTAATAATAAAAATAATTTGAATAGTGACAAAATTAAAAAAAGATGCCTTTTTTGAAAAGTGTTTTTTTATTGAAAATTTGATCCGAGACTGTTGAAAAAATATCTGATTTTTGACCACGAAATAGCATTTTTTAAAAAAAATAGATTTCTGGATCTCCGAAACGTCTGGACCTGTCCATATTTAAACAGATGGCGAAAACGGCCGCTTTGAAATTATATCAATTTTAATTCTTTCAGCATATCATAGATGTCGCCACCAACCGTAGCACGTAAATTTACCCTTAGGTTTAATTCTAGGATAAGATTTATTTGAATATATAATATAGAAAAGATAAACCTGATTAATTTGACTAAATGAAATGAGAACAAAAATATACACGTATAAAATATATTTTCAACAAAATCACAAATATGTTGTGAAAAATATACAATAAGAAACAATAAACATTTTTTCCGTTCAAAATAGATATTCCAATATAAAAAATCGGTACTTCTATCGTACACTAGCACCATCTGTGATATGCAGAAAGCACTAATTCAGAGTAAAACGCATTTGTTCTATGTTTACTCTCCATGGACCTGCCTTTGCCAAAAACTATTCAGCACATCTCCCTATTAATAGGAATCGAATGCTTATTGAATCAATCAAATCGGTTGAGCAGTGCTCTCAAAAACTTGAACGAAAAATTTTATCCGCACATATATACATACATACACATCCATTTTTTCTAAGATACATTTACAGTAGAGTTTTTCATAAATCTGAAATCTTGTTGATTAAAAAAACAAAAATATTTAACAATTTCCACCATTGTACAAAATTGTTATGAAAAGTTAAAGACATCCTCGCCGATTGCCCTGAATAAATTAGTTTGTTTTCATCTACCTACGTTTCACAATATCTATATATAGACGAAAACTTTATCTAACGTGGAAAATTCAAAACAATTTCTTTACAATGTTGCTATGTAGAATTTGGAATTAGTTTTATCTCAGTTAAAATTATAATTATAATTATAATTGCGATAAATAAATACTCTAACGAGAAAATCTTGTAATTTTCTTATCGGTGAAACAATTAAATACTAATCGCGACATTGAAAATGTTTGAAATTTTTACAAAAACGTGCAACTACTGGATTTGATATCGATCAATATATAATTATATTTATATATTTATATATATATATATATATATATATATATATATATATACTAGATGACCCGGTAGACGTTGTCCTGTACCGACGTCTACAATTTAAAAGTTCCACTTTTTTTAATATCCTATACATTTTAATATCCTAGTCAGAATAATATAGTATCTGCGGTAAAAGAATAATATCACACTTGATTTTACCACACCACATGATTGCTTCAATAGTTTAGTCTACAATTTACTTAATCTCGTACGATATATTAGTTACTTATTGGCAATTATAATTTCTAAAATACATTTTTCTTACTAATAATTTAATAAACATTATTGTTTATGTTCAAATCTTAGGTGAACTAATTTGTAAAATCTAATACATATGTGCACTATTCAATCTAAGATGAACTTGCTAAATATTTCATATCCGATGCCAAACAAATGAATTTTTGACACATGAAACAAAATTCTAAATCATTTTTTTAATAAGTAGAAATATTTTTTTGTATTGTTAAATAATTTGGTAAAGTAAACCAAAATGCGACATGTATAAGAAAACTTATTGCGTTATTTATTAAACTGAATTATGTAATTTCATCTGCCAAACATATACTGTTAACTGTATCTTATATTATTTTAATTTCTGGCACATCTCAGATGCTTTTCGGCAATAATAATGAAGGCATTTCATTTTTCTTATTCATAATCATGAATTTATTATACATATTTTAATATTGTCTAGGCTCATAAGTAAATTGAAATTTTTGGCAGATGACAGTTTTCATTTGTTAAATGCTAAACAATGCCTCAAATGTTTTCAATGTTAAACAATAATAAGCGGTTTTTTGTAATTCCATTCCATTCCATTTATTTCTACTAATAATAACTCAAAAAATCCTAAAAAATTCTCTTAACAAACTTCAGAAAGATTTATCAAAATCCGAATAATCGTTTAGGAGGTGTATCCTTATATACATCATTACAGAAGAATTTTATATATAAGATATGTATGTATAAGTAAGTTCTTTGAGGGCGAATCATCTAACACAAGAGAACAACGATTTATAAAATAATCTTTAATCTTTAAACGTTTCGACATACAATTTGATGTCATCACCAGTTGATTTTACAGATATAAATGTGTACACACCACAGAATTTTGCACTAACATTGATACAACTAACCAGTCGATAATCATGAATTATTTGTAAATAGAAAAATAATAAGTTTTGTTTTGCAAAAATGTGGAATTAAAGTATTTTGGCACAGGAACATGTAATAGCTATCTGTGAGGCCAATATAAGAAACGTTTGGAATTAAATCTACAATAATAATGCAGACATTATTTTTTTTTTCTATTTTTGTGTTATATTCTAATATTGTCTTGGCTCATAAGTGAATTGAAATTTCTGGCAGGTGACAGTTCTCATTTGTGAAACTATTTTCAATGTCAAACAATGATAAGTGGTTTTTTGTAATTTTTGCCATTTATTTTTACAATATTAGCATAGTATCATCGTTCATTAAATCTTAAAAATTTCTTTTGACAAACTCTAAAAAGATTTATCAAAATCCGAATAACCGTTTAGGAGAAGTATCAAATCATACACCCGTACAGAAGAATTTAAATACAAGATATGTATATTATCTTCTTCTTACCGTCAACGCAAGGATAGTCATTCAAAAACTTCTGCCTCGTTTGCAAGATCTCCTGCTGCAATTGGCTCTCCAAAGGAGTCTCAAGGGCGGAAAAGATGAGCCCCCCAGTGACCAGATACAGGACATAGAACATGACGAACAGAAAGAGCAGAGAGTTCCTCGGCCTCCTCGAGTATCGGCTCAAATTGGCGGCGACGACGTCCGGTAACAGACGAACAGTCTCCGGCAACGTGGGCACCACATCCGTCTGGTGACTCTGGGTGCTGCCGTAGTTCCTGGTGTCCATTGCGGGGGATCGAAGACACTGGGGGTAGAGGATTGAGGAGTTAGAATTATAAGAAATCAGTAGGAACAATTAGAAAAAATAATGAATCCTTGGGGTTAAACATAGAACAAATGCGCTTTACTCTGTATGAGTATTTTCAGCATATCACAGATAGTACTAGTGTGCTTCGAAACGTTCAAGTACCAATTTTATACATTGAAACATACCTTTTCAATGGAAAAAATGTCTTTATATATTTTTTACAACATATTTGTGATTTTATTAAAAATATATTTTGTACGCGTATATTTTATTCTCGTTTCATTTAGTCAAATTAATTTAGGTTCATCTTTTCTATATTATATATTAAAACTAGCAAACCCGACGAACTCCGTTTCGCCACCAGATGGTTTCGTGAGAAAAATGAAGAAATTTTTTGTTTGTTTTATATTTGAAAAGGAAAATTTTGATGTTATTACACAACAGTAATGAATTTGTTTCGATTGCAATAATGAAGTGTTTTTTACTTGAACTTCTCTAAGCAAATGCAAGTGAATCCGCAAATTGTCCGTTTCATTGAAGTGCTCTTTGGTAAACCACATTTTTTGTTTTTTGGTCTGACACAAACATTTAACACAAACAAAGCGGATCGTTTTCCAACTCGTAAACAGGCAACGTATAACTGTCCATGTGAAAAACAATGATTTTCTAAATAATCTATTTGAAATTTATCCCGCAAACACTAAGCGATTGGCCTTGCGACTTGTTATTGCGAACGAAAGGCGAACTGGAAATTGCAATCGTTTGAAGTCAAACGGAAGACCAGTCGGAATCATTGGCATGTCACCAAATCGCCAGCAATTTTTGATTGAATAGTGAAATTCAGTGCTTGTACATCATTATTCTTTGCGACTAGAATTGCTTGTTGACCTAATTGCAAGCATAATTCTGATATTTCTCACTAATGTCATTACTCAAATTTTTAATTACGGTGCGTGAAGTTCCAGCAGCTTGCATTAAGGCACTAATTTTCTTAGCTATAAACCTTGTGGAGCCCGAGACCTTTCCAACGAATGCAAAATTATCGAAATCGGTTCGTGCGTTCTGGAGTTATTTCGTCAGGAAGGAAAACCCGACTTATTTTTATATATATAGAAGATTAATTTTATCCTAGAATTGAACCCCTAAGGGTAAATTTACGTGCTACGGTTGGTGGCGACATCTATGATATGCTAAAAGAATTAAAATTGATGTAATTTCAAAGCGACCTTGTTTGCCATCTATTTATACTTGTTTATTTATGAACAAATCTAATAATAGGCATGCAATAAATAATAAAATTAATTATTCGACTTCAAAGATACAGTTTTAACAATCGACATTTTTGTAATCACAAATTATTAATTAAAGTTTCATAACATTATTAATATGTATTTATTTAAAATACGACTTCATTGATAAAAAATTATATTATAATTAAAGTGAATTGTAAACTCTGAGCATTGTTGCGCACTTGTTATTTTTTTATATATTTACAATTTAAATTGAACTAGTGGTGTATGGCATCGTGCCACAAGGCAAATTGCTCAAACTTCCCGTAGCGTAATATTCGAGAAATTTTAAACGTTTTCAAATATATCATTATAAATATTGTAACATTGTCTAATATTACCCCACTACTTTACAATTTTTAGTTGTATTTTATATATTTTGCTCTAATTTAATCTATTATTTATACATGTTTATTGTTTATAGATGGACAAATACAATTTGTATAAATAATATTCCAATTCAAATTTTGTTTCAGCCTGAATTTTCTTAAATTGTATCGACCAACCTGTTTTATCGATTAAATAAAAAAATATAAAAATGAATTTATTATATAAACAAAAAACGTAAATTGCTTTTATAAAATATTATTAAAAATAAGTGTTAGTTTACAATTTACAAATTTATGAAAAATTTATAAGGGACTATAATATATTATTTTTGCAGTAAAACTTCTTTAGGCGCGAATAGGATGTAAATCTGTACAAATGCAACGGAAGTCCGTTACGGCACAACTGTACGTCATTCGCTTTCGATATTGATAACAACAAGAAAATCGGCATAGATAAATTAACATTTTACTGTTACATCATAGTACAAATCATGATTTAATGGATAATTCCTGAATCAGAAGAATATTTTACACTGTTCCTTGAAAATAATAAAACAAATTAAACATTTTTGTGCCGTGTACTAAACGTGAGTTTATTGATTAGAAATCATTTCTTTATTATTCGTAGTTTCTATAAATCTTTGAAGTTATTAAAATGGAAAATAGTTTTTAGGCAAGGCAGATATTACGTCTGTTCAAAGAATGAAACTGTATCGCCAGCGAAAAAGTAAAAAAAAAATAGCATCAGTCAATGAATGTATGTTAATTTTAATTACATGAAATTCTTCAAACACAATTATTACATGATTAGTAAATTTGCGAAAGTTTAACATAATCCACTATGTGAACAAATATTATAGAATTTATTAATCAGCAATTACTTCATTCCTCTAATGAAAAATCAAGTCGTAAATGCTAATTACAACGACAAACCGATCGTGTCATATTTGAAGTATGACTTTAATTACATTATTGTTTTCAAATATTATATATATTTTTAACAAATAAATAACAAAAATATCATGAACTAAAGCTTAAATGGTTAGTAATTGATACTAATAATTCTTCAATATTAAAATTTGACCAAATATATATATATATATATATATATATATATATATTATAATTTATTACTATTATTTCATTTACCTAAATCTGTTCTAATAATTCGTCAGCTGTTCGTGTATTCCTGTTTTTTATATTTTCTACTTAAATATAAAGGCTTAAAAAGTCCTCATTTCTAACAACTAAAAAATACATAATTAGTTATTAAATTAATTAAACTATATCAAACATATTTAATTCTATCCACTTGAATTTTATCCACTTCTGTCATATTAGTACATTTGCACAATGAGTTATTTGTTGGTTATTTTTTGTGTTTATTTATTAATTAACATTTATATTAAATTATCGAGTTGTTAATTAAGTTTGAATTGGTGTTAATTATTAAATGCACGTCAGTTTTGTATGAAAATCTGTCGATTAATGTTGGATGAAAGATAAACAACAATCGTTTATAAAGATGACGGACGGACGGCTGCCATGTTTTTTTTGTAAAGTGATTTTGTTTGTTTGGTTTTGGTCAGGGTCGAATAGGGGGTAATTTGAAAATAGTTTATGTGTAATACATAGACATTATATTACATGGACTATGTTTTCCGTTGTGGATACTGTGCAATTGTGACGTCACATGTCTGAGCGAACGTTGCCGACGACAATCGCGGACTCTCTCGCGGATTGATTAAATGTCTTATGTCGTATGTTACGTGCCTAACATGAGACTTATAATGTATGCACCGATTTTAACAGGTGAATTCAATTTTATGTACATTAATAATATTCCTAAAGTAATTTCTTATACAATTTTCAGCCATCACAATTGACATTATATTATTAAAATAAAATATACGGCATGTGACATTTGATCAATCAGCAGAGTCCGCGGTTCTCGTCGGCAACGTTCGCTCAGACATGTGACGTCACAGTCTCTTCTATATTTGTTTACTTACTTTGCACTCGACTAGCAGTCCATGTAATATAAGGTCTATGGGATAATTTAAAATGCTTTATGTGTAATATTTGATGTGAATAAATTATTAATAATGTTTTTTGAATCTTTGTTAAAGGTCAAGTCTTTATTAAACATACTTATAATGTAAAAACACTTATAAATTTTCTTAAAAAATACCTGTGTTGTAAAATGCACTTATAAATTTGTTACAAAACAAAATACATATATTTTAAAGATATATTTTAAACTAGTTGTGAGGCATCGTGTCTTAAGGCAAATTGCTGGAACTTCCAGTTCCAGCTTTAAAATTTTTTGAAAACTGAAAAATGTAGATTTTTGTGAGTTTTGAAATATTTGAAAAAAATGTGACTTTTATGATTCTTTTATAATTTGAATTTCTTTGAATATTTGGAACTATTTTTCGAAGCATTTATAATCTCCATAAAATACCTGACAATTTGATGTATATATGTCTAATAATCATTTTTATCCGCCAAATGGCATTTTTTAAAACTTTTTTCATTGGATCTCCAAAACTGCTGGATCTGTCTTTCAAAAAAATAAACATTTTATCGTTCAGTCAATACAAACAGAATGTTTTTTGAATTATTTTAATCGGACGCTCAGTTCTCTTGAACTACCATTTTTGGCACTTTTTGCGATGAATCTTCGTGTGGATACAATTTTTCGTACACGTTTTCGGACGCACGTTTCAACCAATTTGAATGATTTATTTACCATTCGGTTCCTATTGATAAGAAAATGTGCTAATCAGTTTTTGACAAAGGCAGGTCTAGCCGTTACGGAGATAAAGAGCAAAGAGTGCAGAAAAAATAAATCGAGTTTTTGAGAGAACGGATCATCCGATTTAAATAATTCAAAAAGCATTCAATTCGTATTGATAAAGAAAAGTGGTGATTAGTTTTTGGCAAAAACAGGACTTGCCGTTTTGGAGATACGGAGCCATATGTGCAAAAAATGGCAGTTTTTGAGTGAACTAATCGTCCAATTTGAATGATCTAAAATACTTTCTGCTTGTAATGACAAAACAATTGCTTTTGAGAAATTATTACATCTTCTTTTATTTTCCATAAAATATGTTTGTAATTTTGGATGAAAAATTCAAAAAATTGCCCAGTCTAAGCGCCACTCTGGTGCAAATGTTTACCCGAGTGCAATTAGACTGTTTATGGACTGAAGTACTTTTACAATTTTGTGAAAAGAAAACTATTGAAAAATGTGAAAATGCCACCAAGCTAAGCACAGTCTAAGTGAAAATGTCGCACAGAATTATTTGCAAATGCGATTAGACTGTGACTATACGGCAGCACTTTTTCAATTTTGTGTAAATTGGGCAACTATTTTTTTTTGAAATTGAATTCGAAATGAAATGACGATTGTTAAAGTTCTGGATATAAATTGATTTATGATTTACGTTTGATTTGCACAGAACAAGATAGCAAAAATAATGAAAGTATTTGTAATAATATTTTTGAAATCGTTTAAAATTTCTCGAATATTTCATTACGGTACGGGAAGTTCCAGCAATTTGCCCTAAGGCACGATGTCATACACCACTAGTATATATTTATATCTTTAATGTTCCTAAGCTATCTTCGCGTTCACAATTATATTTCAATTATCCTACTCCTTAAAATAATTCTCTCTTAAATTCGTCTATCCTACTTATGTCCTTTAAATTTAACTTGATTAAAAATGAAATAGATATTCATAACAAACACTTCACCTAATCAAATAATCTCCATATGTTCAAATTAACCTTTTTATTTTCTTTTCAAATATATATTTTATTATTTTATCTTATTCTATGTAAATACATAATATTGTTACATTCTGTATTATGTTTACTATTATGTTGTAAATATATTATTTTTATTTACTATATATTGTAATTTATCCATATTGTATATTAATTGTATATATATTAAGGTGGTCCTTAATATGGACATTTTCGAAATTCCTTGCTCCCAAGAGCTCAAATGATTCCAAATTGATAAAAAACCATTCTCTCAAAGTTTAAGCTCTTAATATTAACTTTTAGACAGTGCGCAATTCAATCAAAGTTTTGTATGGAAATAGCATGAAAAATTTTTCAAACATTTTGCAGAGCGTCGAATTTTCGATAAAAAATGACACGAATTTTCACTTCTAATTCATTTGTCGCTAAATTATACCTAAAAAAATTTTTTTTTTAATTTTCAATTTTTTTTCCATGGTATTTCCATACGAAGTTTGATTGAATTGCACACTATCTAAAAGTTGATTTTAAGAGCTAAAACTCTCAGATAATTGTTTTTTATCAATTTGGAACCATTTGAGCCCCTGGGACCAAGGAAATTCGAAAATGACCATGTTAAGGACCACCCTAATATATATATATATATATATATATATATATTAATTGTTATCCGTAATGTATAATAATAATATTTTTAAGTCCTCTTGGAACTAAACTGTGGGTTAATATTTAAAAAATAAATAAATAAATAAAAATAAATATCGAAAATAATTCAGGTTTTAATTTTAATCATGTCTAAAGTTCTAAAACTCACTTATATCCTTTAAATAGATAATTTTAACTTTGCAATTCAGTTTATATAATTCTTATAAATATTAAGACAGCGTTACAGTATTCATAATAATCTATTTGAAAACATTCTGTATTTCTCGAACATTTCGTTACAGTACGGGAAGTTCCAGCAATTTGCCTTAAGGCACGATGCCATACACCCCACGAGTTAGTAATTTATTTAAACGCATCATAATTCAAATTATAATTTCAATTTTCGCTCCATTACATCCCTGTCAAGCGCAACGAAAACTCCAAGCTAAACCAACTTCACGCCGTTGTGACATCTGTCAAATTTTTAAGGTTATGTCGTGCGCGAATTACAAAAACAACACTACCAGTATTTCCAAACAAACTAACGCACACAAACCATGTAAAAACATTATTAAAATGAACAAATCCTAATCAATAAATAGTTAATAAATAAATATCTATTACTATTACTATGCCGTTCGGTATAAAATCCATTTGCGTCCAATGCGACAAATCCGAGAGCATCTTTTGGCACAACATAGAATGCGGAAAACTTTGCAACGAATGCCACGAAAATGGAAACAATATTAAAACGGAGTCTTCGGCAGAAGACAATGGCGGTGGTGGTAATAGTAATGGTAATGGTGATGGTCAGTCGAAGGCAGGAACTGATAGTGAATCGAGGAGTGCTAGGAAGACTACAAGGGCTGCTCGATACAAGAACAGGTTGAATAACATTGCTTTGAAACAGTCTACGAAAGGAAAGGGTAGACGGTTCATATTGAAGGGGAAGCCGATGAAGGCTCCTTCTTCGGTTGCCACTGTCGTTACGAGTGATTTTCTTTATTATAAGGTAAAGGATAATAGATACATGGTAATAGGTATTTACTTATATATAAATGTCTCTCTCTCTCTCTCTATATATATATATATATATTAGCTGACCCGGCACACGTTTTGCTAAGTAAGGTATATTTTAAACAATTTCTAGCGAATCAAAAAATTAATACTTTAAGTGCATAAGGATGTGTTGTTTGAATGCTATATACAATGAGGTATTATAAAAAACAATAAACCCCATCAGTTTGTCTATATTTTGTCAACTGGAACTTTTATACACTTTCTATACAAAACATGGTATAATCCAATCCAAGTCTTTTTGAGTCTTTCGACTTATTGATTACATTTCAAGTTTTTCAGATTCTTTTTCGATTCTGGATTTTGTGTATAATTATAAATAATACTACTGAGCTTATACAAAATTTTCAAATTTCTGCGAGTTGAGATAGAAAATGTATTCAGTATTTCTTCTTTGACTTGATTTGAAAAGTTTCAAGTAGCATTCGATGAATTAAAATAAATTTAATAAAAAGTATATACGTAGAGCAAGGCGAGGCACAAAGGTCCAATTTGACTTTGAGCATATATTAATTATATTGTGAAAACCATAACAATTATATCCCAATAAATAACACATTTCAAACGAACAATTATCTGACTACATTCAGTAAAACTTTCAGTTACTTCATCATTGTAGAAATGTGCTTTTTTGATGTCTTTCAAAAATTTGTTACAAGTGCTTTTTAACCTATAGGCGGTGCAACGGCCAGGTGGCAAATAGGTTTAATGTCTTATTTTAATTTTAAAGGTATTTTGGAAATAAATTACATTTTTAACTAATGCTAAAAAACTACCAACTATCTACATATATATTATTAAATTATTATTAATAAATTTTATATAGTTTTTCCTTGTTTGATTGCTGAATGACACACATTAAGTGTCGAAACGTATAATAAAGAATTTTTCTATTTTAACCTTTTCTTAATTTAAACTTAGATTTATTTGCGGACTACCTTAAAGTTAATATTAAGAACTAAAACTTTCAGAAAATTGTTTTTTATCAATTTGAAAACATTTGAGCCCTTGGGAGTAAAGAAATTCGAAAATATCCATATTAAGGACCACCCTAATTTATATATGTATATATATATATATATATATATATATATATATATATGTTTCATCCTCGCGACATTTGTCCAGAAACAATCTTCATTAGGTTTGAACAAATAATATACTTAAGAAAAATAGAAATTTGTGGATTTTTATAAAATATATGAAATTGTGAAATAGAGGACATTATATAAAATATAACAATATAATAAAAACAAATATAAATGAGTAGATTATATAACGAAATATTAGAATGATATCTATAGAAAGTTTTTTAAAAAAGGGTATTGAAGAAAAACAGCGTTATTTACTTACATGATTCATTAATAATTTTGTTTATTTTGTTAAAATCCACAAACCTAATTTTAAACATTATGGCCTTTGCCAAAAACTAATCACCACTTCTTCTCCCTATGAATATGAATCGAATGTTTTTTGAATCATATAAATCGGTTGATCCGTTCTCCTGAAAACGTCGACGAAATATTGTATCCGCACATACAAACATTCAATTACATACACATCCATTTTTTCTAAGATGTGCCAAAATGTTCAGATACCGTTAAAGCGTAAAAGAGGGTATCCATTGATCACGTGATCGATTTTTTAAGGATTTTTGGATCCTTGGTGATAGTCAAAATTACCACCCCTCCCGTACCAAACATCACGTGTATATTTAGTTACTTGATAGAGGACATTATATAAAATATAACAATATAATTAAATATTGTAAAATTTTTGAATTTTATTTGAAAATGCTTGTTTTTTTAAAATAAAATTCAGGTAAAGAATAAAAACACGTGATATCTTATTATACCACTCCCTTCGCCTAAAATCTTCACGAAATTAATGGACGCCATCGAATATTTCATTTTCAACCTTCTATTCCTTTTTCAGGGAAGCTACTACCAAGTAGGCGACATAGTGTCCCTCCGAGACATCGACGGAGACTACTACTACGCCCAAATCCGCGGCCTGATGATGGACCAGTACTGCGAAAAATCTGCAGTCATCACATGGTTATTACCGACTCAAGCGAGTCCGCCGCCCGAAGAGGGATTCGATCCCGCCACCTACATACTAGGTAACTAATATAATAGATACTATCTATCACCAACAACTCCTCCTATATATATATATATATATATATATATATATTTATATATATATACATATATATTTATATATATATATATATATATATATATATATATATATATTATATATATATATATATATATATATATATATATATATATATTATATATATGATAGTTTTGTCGACGTTGATACATATTTGTAATATTTTTGCAGCCCAACCGTCGAATTAAAAAAAAGATTAAATAACAAAATTATTTATTCCATTAAACGTTTCGACACTTGATGTGTGTCATCATTCAGTAATCAAACCAGGAAAAACAACAGAAAAAATTGATTATGATGCAAAATTGATTGAACACTAAATTTGTGTAAAATAATAAAATACTATTATATTAACAAACGAGAAATTGAAGGAGCACATATCGCCCTCCTATATTTTATGTTATTGATAGCATTACATTGTGGACACTGATCAAGGTTACAACGCAGTGTAGTCACACACGTGTAATGAAGGAGTAGGAGAGCAGTCCAACCTGTAAACAGTATCACTAACCCTATCAGCGGGAGTTTTTGATTTAAGAGAAGAAAAAAGGCAACTGAAAGTGTTGTCAAAAGTGAAAACCAAAAGAAAATCTTCAGCGACAAATAACTTTTTTAAAAAATAAGAGAAATTACTTAAGAAAGGTAAACAAATAACACCTTTATATTTATCTAAAGAGGAAGAATTGGATTTTGAAAAAGAATTGTTATGATAATAAGAACTGTTTTAATTGTGTTGTAAAAACTCTAATCTATTTTTAATGACGTTATTAACTAAATTTGAAGGATAAGAATTATTATTCAAAACAAAACGAACTGAAGATAGGTTTTTTTCCCCAAAAATCCCTATCACTTAACAAAATGGCCCTATCTATTAAGGAAACTGAATGACAACTGAAATTTTTATAGAACTTAAATCAAAAACTCCCGCTGATAGGGTTAGTGATTCTGTTTACAGGTTGTTCTGCAATGATTGCTATAGTTGTTACATTGGTGAAAGTTCCCAATATATATACAATAGGGCTTACAATTACTTAATACAATACTTGTTTATCTATGCAATAGGGTTAATCAACATATATATATATATATATATATTTCTAGAAACCCAAATTAATTCAAAACGATGCTTTCTAAACATATGATAAACCTGAACCACACTTTTAACATGTCAAATCCTTCCATCCTTTACATTGAAAAAAATGTGACCTTAGAAAGATAGTTGAGTCTTTACTTATATCCCTTAATACTTCTTGTGTAAACAAACGTAATTCCTCTAATCTCTTACATGACAGTTACAAAGTAATCATTAATTTCATGAAAAGTAAATCTATACAGTTTTAGAATCTTTTGTTCGTTATATTTCTTTTCTGTTTCTCTTTCCCCTTTCGTTTCTCACTTTTGTAACCTTGATCAGTGTCCACAATGCACCGCTATCAATAACATTAAATATAGGAGGGCAATATGTGCTCCTTCAGTTTCTCGTTGTTAATATAATAGTATATTATTATTTTACACAAATTTAGTGTTCAATCAATTTTACATCATAATTATTTTTTTCTGTTGTTTTTTCCTGGTTTGGTATGTATAATTTCCTCCTCTTTTTATATATTTATATTTATCATCACTTGTGTATTTATGTTATATGTTTTTTTAGATTACTGAATGATGGCACACATCAAGTGTCGAAACGTTTAATGGAATAAATAATTTTGTTATTTAATCTTCTTTTAATTTGACGGTTGGGCTGCAAAAATATTACAAATATATGTATATATATATATATATATATATATATATATATATATATATATATAATAGATACTATCTATCACCAACAACTCCTCCTGCTTATAACAATGATCTATTCCTAGGTCCCGAGGAAGATCTACCGCGAAAACTGAGTTGCATGGAGTTTATTGTGCACGCACCATCGGACTACTACAAGGCAAACACTCCTTATCCTGGTGTGGATAATGGTAAGGCTGATCATTATAGGAACAAGGAATTTATCTGGACGTCCCTGGGACGATATGAAAGGACAAAGACGAGCAGCGGCGATATAATTGATGTAGATGATGAATAAAATAAATGACAACGCTTTTTGTAATGATTTTTTTTTAAATGGCATGATATAATGTTTGTAAGTGGAGATTTATGAAGTTTATCAATTTGTAATACAACTAGAATGATGATTTAATAAAATATTTTTATATTATTTAGTGAAGAGTATAATTATTCTTTGCATAACAGACCAATGTTATGGCAAGGCAACTTGCATACATTATGCTACTGAATATTGTCAATATGTTATGTATTTGCTGTGCATTTAGGCGTTTTACACATAAACTGCAACGCCACTCGTATGTTATGAAGCTGAGTTAGAAAGACCCTGGTATCTAGGATAGTTCTTTTGTCATTTGTGCGGTTTCTAAGTTATGCTATCTATCTGATAATGCCAAGACAAAACGTCGTTGTTAAAACAATATCAACAAAAAGTGAAGACACTAGGAAAATTGAGTCCCTTTTTAATTTGATTTTAGTTTTGCTCGTCAGTAGAGTCCCTTTTTGCTTTAATTTTATAAGAATTTGCTCGTCACTCGTTCACTTTTTAGTGTAAAATTTAATTTGCTCGTCAGTAGAGTCCTTTTTATGCTATCTCATTTTTTTCTTCTTTCACATTTATAATAATTTGCTCGTCAGTAGAGTCCCTTGTTATTATTTCAGACTGAAATTTAATTTGCTCGTCAGTAGTCCTTTTTTTCTTTGGTCGACAAGCAGTTTGCTCGTCAGTAGAGTCCCTTTTTTATTTTCTTATCTTTACTACTATACTTTCTTCTCCGTCTTCTGTTCATGAAATGATTTGTTCGTCAGTAGGGTCCTTGGTAAATTTTTTGGGTTTAAAATTTAAATTGCTTGTCAGTAGAGTTCCTTTTTCCGCATTCTTTATTTTTAATTTTAAATTTGCTTGTCAGTAGAGTTCCTTCAATTTTCAATTTCAATTTGATTATTCGAGAGAAATACGCCTGATTGCACAGCAACCACATTTAGAATATTTTTGTATGGAAAGTTCTTCATAACATAGCCTTGCCATAATATTGATCTGTCCCTAAGTTAGATTTATAAGCTTTGAATCAAAAGTTCGTTACCAGCCTCTTGGAACAGCTTGATATCGAGCAGTAATGACATCGACCCCCGTTGTCACATTTTTTAAAATTTTGGGACCAATTTTGTTTTAATTTGAATTTTTAATAATGCAAAATTGAAAAATACACACAACTCTAAACCAATTTTAAAATAGTCCTTTCTTTAATCAAATTATCTTAGGGGGTGGTTTGACCAAAAATATCACGTTGGGGAGTGAGGGTTATAGAAAGATATCACGCGTATTTATTTTTTTAACTTGATTTTAAATTAAGAAAAATCAAAAACTTTACAATTTTTTCTCGTAACTAAAAATACACGTGAAATTGGTTGGGGAATGGGGTTAATTTTGAATATCACCACATATCATCAAAGGGAAAATGAGAGTCGAAAAATCCTTAAAAAATCGATCACGTGATTAATGCACGCCCCCCCCCCCCACACACACACAGTAAATAGTCTATGTACAGCAATTTTCACAAAAAAAAAATTAGACAACTGAAGATAAAACTGCTCTTGAAAGGGAGAGGGCAAGACAATTTTTCCAGAATTTTTATGTATGACACAGCATAATTGTAAGATGAATATTAGCTCAAAAATGAATAAATTAATTCAAAAGCATGATAATAATATAACAAAACCTTGACTATCCAAATCTATCAATTCAATTTAAACAAAATCATTTTCAGATTAGACTGACACTTGCAATGACTATCATATGTAATATGTCCCGTGTATATTTAGCATGCTTTGCAGTGGGTAAACCATACATATAATTTGTGTCAGTTGCCTCTTTCACCACACATTTTCAAATTCATAATCAGTTAATTATTTTTTAAATTAAAGTTTTTCTAGAAAGATGATTGAACGTTTGCCGGTCCAGCTAGTGTATATTTATATATATATATATATATATATATATGTATGAAATGCAATGAAAATATAGATGAGAAATATGTTTGTTTTACAAAAAGCTATTTTTTATACTAAAAATTGCACAGAAAATTTTTAGGGCTAAATAACATTTGCCGGGCCAGCTAGTATATATATATCTAATATATAAAATTCTTCTGTAATGGCGTAAGAAAGGATAATCCGCCTCCTAAACGATTATTCGGATTTTCATAAATCTTCCTAAAATTTGTTAAGGGATTTTTTTTAGGATTTTTTGATTTATAGAAATATAGTTAGATTAATAGTCATTAATAGAGTTAGTCTATGTAAAAAATGTATTTACTAAAAGAAACCTGATGATGGAATGTATCTAGTTCCGAAACGTCGTAATTAAACATCTACAAAAAACAAATTGTTTTTTCATTTATTGGATTTATTGCTGGGAAAAGAAACATATATATATATATATATAAATATATATATATATATATACGTGTATGTATATATATATACTAGCTGCCCCGCCAAACAAATTTAAACTATTCATCTATTACTAAACACAAAAAATTAATGTTTTGTAATAAATATATATATATTTTATAAATTTGTAATAAACGATAGTATACAATGGTTATAAATACATCATCATCTTCATCATCATCATAGTCGTAGTAGTCATGCATAATAATATTAACATTATATATAATATAGATATTAATAACAAAAAGAAAAAAAAGAAAAATTCGTCATAATTTTGCACCTTTGTAAAGCGCTTTACCGATTCTCTCTCTCGACCTGATTATTTAATAAAAACACATTTATTAAATAATAATAATAATAATATTTATGTATATTATTAGGGTGGTCCTTAATATGGATTTTATCGAACTTCTTTGCTCCCAAGGCCTCAAAAGCTTCCAAAGTAATAAAAGAAAATCTTATAAAAGTTTTAGCTCTCAATATTGACATTTTTAGATAGTCCGCAATTTGATTAAAAGTTTTGTTAGTTTATTATTAAGTAAATTCTTGCGCCATCTGTGATAGCAGACTTGTAATTTTGATGGCAATTTATTACCGATATTTTGAGTATCTACATCACCAATTAAATAAATATTTTGATGCTAAATTAATCCTTAATAAATGTTTTGTTATGGATTTAATTAAAGGTCAAGTGATTATAAATATTTTTAAGCGTCGTAATATTTGAGTTCACAAATGCTATCACAGATGGCGCAAGAATATATGGTAATGAATAAACGAAACTTTTAATTTAATTGCGGACTATCTAAATGTTAATATTAAGAGCTAAAACTTTTAGAGGTTTTTTTTAAAATAATTTGGAAGCGTTTGAGCCCTTGGGAGCAAAGAAATTCGAAAGGATCCATATTAAGGACCACCCTAATTATATATATATATATATATATATATATATATATATATATATATCGATCTTCAGGACATCTTTCAAGAAACATGACCTTTGAAACATGATTCTTTTTGATGTTATCATATTTCTGTACATTATTTTTTTCAACAATTTTATTAATTTAAAAATCCATCTCCTTCTTCTTTTCTTAAACATATTCTTTGTTTAAATCTTATCAAGATCATGTTTCTTGACAGATGTCCTAAAGATGGAACGTACCTAGTTCCGAAACGTCGACACTAAATAGATAAAGAAATAGTTTATTATTAAAAAAATCTTGTTTTTTTTTACTTTTTGGATTCCTTGTTCGAAGCTCTACAAAATATTCACAAATCCAAGACTCTACCACTTAATATATATATATATATATATATATATATATATACATATGTGTATTTTTTTATAAGTTATACGTTTTGGCTAAATCCTAGCCTAAATATGTATCTAATTATTTTTGTACCAAATAAACTTACTTCCGAATAATTATATTATTAAATAAACTAATTTAAATTTTTGGCTTTCAAATTAATCATTAGCGAGTCCTAAAATCAAATGAATTTAATTTAAATGAAAATTTGGTGTAACAAATACTTGAAGTAAATAATTGAACGCAATGAACCAATTTTATTTTAAAATGGTTAGTTAAAGGGGTGGTATTGTAGTTTAGGAATTTAAGAAAATAGCATTTTTTATATTTTTATAAACCGATTTTGGCGCATAGCAGACCAATGTTATGGCAAGGCTATTATTTTCATACTAAATTAACAAAAGCCATGCGGTTTGCTATGCAGTCAGGCGTATTTCTCAGATTCTCAGATAGAAAACATAACGTAGAAACTGCACAAATGTCAAAACAACTATGTTAGATAACAATGCATTTCTGACCCAGCTTCATAACATAAGAGTAACGTTTCAGTTTACGCGTAAAACGCCTGAATGCACAGCAAATCCATGGTTATTTTGACAGTATTCAGTACGATTCAGAAGCATAATGTATGCAAGTTGGAGCGTATCATGGCCTTGCCATAACATTGGTCTATTTTACGGCAAAATCGGCCCTTAAAAATGTATCAAAGAATAAAAATTTACCAAAATTTCTAAAAAAAACACTATTTTGTATGTCACACATATATGACTGACATAGCTTTATATTAAAACTTTTCTTCTACTGACTTACATGCCATGGTATTATTAACGTGTTAAATACTGATATGATATCTTTTATATTAAACTTCCTAATAATATATATTTTTTTCAAGTCCAATTGTTAATTTTTTTATAAATTACATTTAGGTTTGTCATGCGTGCAAAATTTTGTAGAAAAACTTTTAGGTTAAAGCTAGATCATAGATTATAATGTTAGTTGAATGTTTCGATTGGAATTGTTAATTGATTTATAAAGATAATACATATATAGTGACTAAATATATGATTATATTAATTTACTTAAATTCCAATAATGTAATATATATATATATATATATATATATATTTAATAGACAAGTCCCGATTTTTTGTAAATAAAAAACAATTTGTTTTTTGAAGATAAACATCTTAATTACGAAGTTTCGGAACTAGATACGTTCCGTCTCCAATATAGATCAATATTGCATGTAAATAATTTTTGCTACTCCATTTTATTTTTTATTTTCCTATCATTTTTATATTCTTTATTTTTATTTTTTTTATATACCTTTCTTTACTTTTATTTGGTACATAATCCATTCCTTTATATTAAAAAACTCTTTTACTTAATATTCTGTATTCTTCGTCATTAATAGAGTTAGTCTATATAAAAAAAATGTTTTTGGCAGAAGAAACCTGATGATGGAACGTATCTAGTTCCGAAACGTCGTAATTAAACATCTACAAAAAACAAATTGTTTTTTATTTACAAAAATCCAGGACTTGTCTATTAAATATATATATATATATATATATATATATATATATAAATATATATATATAAATAATAAAGGTTGTTATTATTATATATATATCAATTACCAATTTAAATTAATAAATGGTGAGCATGTTATTTGTTCATTGTACTAAAACCATATTCTAAGCAAGACTAATTTCAATACTATATATTCAGCACTAACTATAATATTTATCTATATATTAAATACCGAGAGAAATATTTCAAATCTCTCTTCTAGTCAGTTATGCCCTTCCTATCATAATAATTAACTAATTATTATAATTTCTTATCTTAATGATTCTTATTTATAAATCTCTTACTCTTCTGCCAACTGGTAATGTTGTCTTCGAAGCGAGGCCAGTCTCAGCCTTTCCACGGCCAAAGATTGTTCGAGCTCTATCAATCGAACTTGAGACTCCATTTCTAATTTTTTGGCCTGGTGTAGACTTAAACCGGACACATCCAAATCCTCTGCGGGGGTAAACAATATATTAGAAATGGTAAAAAACAAAAAACGCAGCAAGTTGTATGTTTGGTAAAGGACAGTAAAAAAAATTACAGCAAGGATTATATATGTTTGAGGTTATGTACAAATAGTTTGTTTTGCGCTTAAAATATTGCGCAATAGTAAGTTTATTTATGTTTTAAAGATATATAGGTGTTCTACATCTAAATTATCTTGTTATATTATATTATATATAATGATATATGAAAATGTTTGTGTAAACTACTGTATCATGTAATATATATGATATCTGTTCTAGTATGTATTTTTACCTAAGTTTTATTTAATAAGTAGTTTTTAAATCGTTTTTAACAATCACAACACTCCCTAAAAGCACATTTAACACCTTTCACTACATTTTATTTAAAAAACAGCAAATAAATAGTTATTTTATGTCAAATGGCGCAACTAGTGTTGCCGCCATATGCAAAACCGTCCAGGAACAATTTTTGTGTTCGATCTGAAGTGAGACTAGTTTTACAAATGGCGGTAATTTCAAATTTTAAAATTGAAAAAGTGCTTTAAGAAGTAATTAAATTTAAATAGCGTTAACAAAAACGTAATGAAACGTATCCTATATATAATTATATCTCATCTATTTTATATATATATATATATATATATATATATATATATAGAGTATCTTATATATTTCTCTAATTATCATAAGAAATTAGTATAAATGAAGAATTATACATTTTTCATTGGCAACTAAATAAGTATGGCTTTCAACCTTAATAGATGGTTTCAATAGAATTTTTAGATTTGCTGACGTCCAAATGTAAAATACCTTTTGTTATTAGATAGTAGACAGTTTACATGCCCACAAGTAAATTGTTTCATCAGCGTTCATCAAAATATGCAAAATCAACTCAAAATTTTACCATATTTGACTTTTTAATTCCAAATTTTGTTCTGTTTTTCTCACTTTTCTTAACAATTATTACTTTTACTATTGCAATTTCTTTATGGAGTTTTTATAAGTTAAAAATTATATTTCTTTATTATACGAAACTAAATATATAGACTAGTGGTGTATGGCATCATGCCTTGAGGCAAATTGCTGGAACTTCCCGTACCGTAACGAAATGTTCAAAGAATATTAAATGTTTTCAAATAGATTTTTATAAATATTGTAACTTATATATGTTTACAAAAAAGTAAATTAACAAAACTGAATCAATCAAATTTAAAATTGAAGGACATTGTATAATATTTATAAGAATTATATAAACAGAATTGCAAAGTTAAAATTATATATTTGAAGTATATAAGTGAGCTTTAGAACTTTACCTAGAAAAAAATTAAAATTCAAATTATTCAAAAAGAAATTTTTTTTCGGATTATTTTTCCCTAAAATTAATTGTTTCGTCAACACAAGCAGAAAGTTTTTTAAATCATTCAAATCGGATGCTTAGTTCTCTCAAAAACTGCAATTTTTTGCACATATAGATAAGTATCTCCAAAACGACTGGACCTGCCTTTGCCAAAAACTAATCACTACTTCTTCCCGCCATTACGAATTTAATATATTTCAAATAATTCAAATCGGATACTCTCAAAAACTCGATTTCTATTTTCTGCACTGTTTGATCCGTATCTCCGTAACGGCTAGACCTTCCTTTGCCAAAAACTAATCACCACTTCTCCCCGTCATTACGAATTTAATGTTTTTTAAATCATTCTAATCGGATGCTCCGTTCTCTCAAAAACTCGATTTGTATTTTCTGCACTAGAAAAAATGTATGTGTGTGTGTGTGTGCGCGCGCGCGTGTAGTGTATATGTATGTGCGGATACAAGTTTTCGTCAACGATTTTGAAAACACGGTTCATCCGATTTGAATGATTTAAAAAACATTCGATTCCCATTGATAGGGAGATGTGCTGAATAGTTTTTGGCAAAGACAGATCCAGCCGTTTCGGAGATACGGAGGAAAGAGTATCAAAAATTGTATTTCAGATTTTGAAAGAACGGAGTGTCCGATTTGAATGATTCAAAAAATATATTATTTCTATTGACGAATTGAAGAACTGAGGAGATTTTTGGGATGGCTGGTCCAGCGGTTTTGGAGATCCAATGAAAAAAGTGACAAATAATGTAATTTTGAGGTCAAAAATGATCATTAGACATATGCACATCAAATTATCAGATATTTTATAGAGATTTTAACAATAAGTATAAATTTCGTTGACATTCCTATGGGTTCCGTACCAATGTTTATCCGAAATACAGCGACGCGGTGCCCCCGCGCTTCGATATTTCGTTTCGCAAATAGAAATTCAAAAAATTACCCACGCTAAGCGCAGTCTAAGCGCCAATCTGGTACAAATGTTTAGCCAAGTGCCGTTTAGACTGTGACTATATGAGTGCACTTTTTCAATTTTGTGTAAATTAGGCAACTATTTTTTTTTTTAATTGAATTCGAAATGAAATGGCGATCGTTAATGTTCTGGAGATAAATTACTTTTTAATTTACATTTGATTTACAAATATAATGAAAGTTACAGTATTTGTAATAATATATTTGAAAACGTTTAAAATTTCTCGAATATTTCATTACGGTACGGGAAGTTCCAGCAATTTGCCTTAAGGCACAATGCCATACACCACTAGTTAATTCTAAAGTGAAAAAACTCACAAAAATTTATGACAAAGCCTCTAAACTGTAAACATCCTTTGTCCAAAATTCGTTCTATCTTTTCCACATTTCTTATTACCACTTATCACTTACTATTACAATTTCTACTCACGTGCTGTTTCCACCATATGCGTACAACTCTTAACGGCTGCCACAACAGCCCCCGTGGCCTGTCCGACTCCCATACTAGCATGCTTGAGAGCCTGCAGTCTCACGCTTCCTCTTTGGGCTTTGACTCTGCTCGCAACCACCAGGCGGACACTGCAAGCCGCAATCTCTTGAGCAGCCACCATCAGGGCTTCGAACTTGCCACTACCTTGGAGGGACTCGTCTGCTGCAGAACTAGTAAAGGACAGATTAAGGTAATTGAAAATGGTCTAACTCAGGTAATTTATTATACTTACACCTCTTGATGGCAGTATGTTTTCAATAGCTCTTTTCATACTTATATAAGTTAATTGAAACAAATACATATATATGCAAACAATATTAAATTATGATAGTATAATGATATTCCCAGAATAGGTGTATACAATTTGTATCTTTATGTAAAAATCAATGTATGTATTTAAGTCAAATAAAGCAAATTTTCAAATTAAAAATTATACTTACACCAATAATTTGGCTCCGAGAGCAACAGCCTTAGCAGCTGATATAAGTCCTTCGGTCCACTGATGATTACGCTTGTAGAACTCCTTAGCAGTTGCTGTGCCCTTTATTAACAAGTGAAAACAATGTTGTATGTACATTAAGGTAGTCCTTAATATGGACGTTTTCGAATTTCTTTGAGCTCCCAAGGGCTTAAACGCTTCCAAATTAATAAATAAAAATCCTCTAAAAATTTTAGCTCTTAATATTAACATTTAGATAGTCCGCAATTCAATTAAAGTTTCGTGTACTTATTAACTTCCCGTGTGTCCTTAAAAAAAATAGATGTGTGTGTTGTGTGTATGTGCGGATACAAATTTTCATTTTGAATGATTCATTTACCATTCGATTCCTATTGATGAGGTAACGTGCTGATTAGTTTTTGTCAAAGGTAGGTCCAGCCGTTACGGAGATACAGAGCAAAGAGTGCAGAAAATAGAAATCGAGTTTTTGAGAGAACGGAGCGTGCGATTTGAATGATCCAAAAAACATTCAATTTGTAATGATGGGGAGAAGTGGTGATTAGTTTTTGGCAAAGGCAGGTCCAGCTGTTTCGGAGGTACAGAGCTAAATGTGCAAAAAATGGCTGTTTTTGAGATAAATAAGCATCCGATTTGATTGACTCAAAAAACATTCTGCTTGTATTTACAAAAAAATTGCTTTTGGGAAAAGAATCTCTTCATTTTTTTTTTCAAAAATTTTTTTTTATTTGTATATCGAAAATAACTAAGATTTTAATTATAATTCTGGCTAAAGTTCTAAATTTCGTTACGGTACGGTAAGTTCCAGCAATTTGCCTTAAGGCACGATGCCATACACCACTAGTTTATTTGGTGATTTTGACACTCAAATTGTCAGTAATAAATTGCCATCAAAATTACAAGCCTGCTATCACAGATGGCGCAAGAATTGTCAATAATAAATATACAAAACTTTTAATTGAAATGCGAACTGTCTAAATGTTAATATTAACAGCTAAAACTTTCAGAGAATTTTTTTTTTATTAATTTGGAAGCATTCGAACCCTTGGGAGCAAAGAAATTCGAAAGGGTCCGTATTAAAAGGTGGTCCTTAATATGGATATTTTTGAATTTCCTTGCTCCCAGGAGCTCAAATGCTTCTAAATTGATAAAAAAAAAAGAAATCTGAAAGTTTTAGCTTTTAATATTAATTTTAACATAGTCCGCACTCCAATCAAAGTTTCTTGTAAGTAAATACTTATTTTATAAAATATATAAAATTTTCTTTGTAATTTTTTTTATTTATGTTCAAAATAAGCAAAGACAATGTTTGTTTCTTTCAATGATTGTTTGATTGAATTTTACTTTTTGAAGAGCCAATTATAAAATACTTTAACTTGTAACTAGTAATATTTATTTTATGTTAATTACAAGTTATAATCGTATTTATAATAATTTCGATATTGTTTTTGATAACGTATTGATTGATTTGATTTTTGTATGATTTTCGATTGATGATTTTTTTTTGTATATCAATATAACCGCACACTTTGATATGGCGCGAACAATGTTATTCACAAAATTTTGATTCACTTGTCGCTAAATTATAAAACAAATGAAATTTTACCCATGTTATTTTCATAGATACTTTGGTTGGAATGCGGACGATCTTAAAGTTAATATTAAGTGCTAAACCTTTCAGAGAATTGTTTTTTATTAATTTGAAAGCATTTGAGCCCTTGGGAGCAAAGAAATTCGAAATTGTCCATATTAAGGACCAACCTAAAGTACACATATATTTTATAATATGTTGTTTTTAATTAATTTCAGCATTCAGTATGATTTTAATGAAAATATTATTAATTACTAGAAATTTTAATATGGTATTAATTAAAAATGGTAAAGAGAACGCACAGGGAGATGAAGGGAGATATTTGACAACCTAATATTTATATTTATATTTATATTCATATTTATATTTATATTTATATTTATATAATTATATTTATATTTATATTTATATTTATAAATATTAGGTTGTCAAATATCTCCCTTCCGCCTTTTTGTATTATAAACCAAGAGCAAAAAAGCGGAAGGGAGATATTTGACAACCTAATATATTGATGGCAACCTTTTGATTTAGTTGGAGAGTTTGTTTAACAAATATTGTGAAATATTGAGTGAGTAAAGTGAATCACATTGAAAAATAAAATTTATAAATTTATGTTAAAAAAAAAATAATAAAATTATGTTATATGTCTCTATTTACCTTTCCTTCAGCAACAATTTCAGCTTGAACAGATCTGGCAGTCTGCACCAACTCTCTTATAGCAGCCATCAGACTTGTACAAGCGTCCAAAATCTTCTCATTGACCTCCAATTTAATTCCTGAATCTGCTGTACGAGATGCTGAGAGCAAACCCTAAATAATAAAAAAAAACAAATACATTAAAATATTGCATAAGTAAATAGTAGTAAATATTATTAGAATAATTAATCCTTTATCCCTTACTTCAATTTTCTTGGCAGCTTCTTCAATAGCCCTATCCATGCCAGCCATCTCGTCCTCCACTTGATCCCCAAGAGCGTCCAAACCCACATCGCTAACCATCAAACCACCAGCCAACTCCTTCAACACCTTCAATTGTTTAACAAGATCCTGCAAACTGCAAACACCTTCCAACCTGGTAATAAATAATAAATTTACACAAAGAAAATGTTATTGTGCCAATCAATGTACAAACGCTAGTCGCTAGAAATAATTTAAAAATTTATAAATGTACTAGCTAACCCGGCAAAGTAAGCTATATTCTAAACAATTTCTAGTTTTTTAATTTCAGTTCAAGATTGAGGCCTAAAACGTGGACGAACAATTTTACACTGTTTCGTCTATACCAAAGAAACGGCTTGACCGATGGTCGCGCAAAATTGACCAATGATAGACGTCGATGAAAGAGTCAAAAATCGGTCAAATTTCTAGAGAATCAAAAATATTAATACTTTAGGTGTGTAAGGATGTGCTGTTTGAATGCTATATAGAATGAGGTATTATAAAAACAATAAACCCCATTAGTTTGTATATATTTTGTCAATTACAATCAAACTGAAAGTTTCATACACTTTCAATAGAAAACATGGTATAATTCATTTAATCCAAGTCTTTTTTGGTCTTTCGACATATTGATTACGTTTCAAGTTTGTCAGATTCTTTTTTGATTCAGGATTTTGTGTATAATTGTAAATAATACTACTGAGCTTATATAAAATTTTCCAATTTCTGCGAGGAGAGATAGAAAATGAATTGAGTATTTCTTCTTTGACCTGCTTTTTGAAAAGTTTTGATGAATTAAAGTAAATTTAATAAAAAGTATTATGGATTTTCAAAGATAACTCTTTATCTCTCGATAGCAAAGTCAAAAGTCAAAGGCTATCGCGGGTTATACATCTTTTTCCCTCTACTTTCAAATATTTTTGTTAAACAATGCCTAACTTTAGTGGTTTTTGACACATCGGTGGTGGATCGTTTTAACCCCGGACCTTCATAAAATACTATCTATTCTTCGATAAATTCGGGAAAATTATAACTGGGAAAATGTTATTCGACAAAATGTCCCTTTGGTCGATACCAAATTTAGGTTCTGAATTTAAATAACATAAATAAAAAATAATATAACCTAGAAAATGTTTTATAAATACCAATCAGTATATAATTATACAAATGAGATCTTTCAGAGCACCGTGTTTGAGAAAAATATGCCAAAAAGTGCATTTTCATATTTTAAACATTTCAAAAAAGTTGATATTTTGAGTTTATAGTGACACTTGCAGCGCTATTACATGATTTTACTGAATTGCAAATTTATAGCTGTTTTTGTTAGAAACATGTGTGATTTTATATTTTTATAATTTAGTACACATATTAAGAAATGACATACTAAAATTTTGTAACTCTAGTATAACGTTTTATATTTTTAAATATTTTTCAAAATACTCATCAAACCCTGGACTTGCAACTATTAGGAAATAGATATGCAAGAGTGCATTTGTTTACAAAGTTGCACATTTATAGCTTTTTTTGTTAGAAACATATGCGATTTAAAATTTTTATAATTGAGTACATATATTAAGTAATAACATACTAAAATTTTATAGCTTTAGTATAATATTGTATATTTTTAAAAGATTTTTCAAAAGTACTTCTCATATCATATCCAACCGACGATTCGCAAGAGTATGCAAGTGTGCATTGCAATTTTTTAGTTTCTTTTGTTAGAAACATATTTGATTTTATATTTTTATAATTCAGTACACATATTAAGAAGTAACATACTATAATTTCATAACTGTATTACAACGCTTTATATTTTTAAAATATATTTTAAGCCGTCAATTTGTTTACGTCAGACGTGTTTGTATATAAATAAAACTACGAATAAAACTATTTACTAAAATTTAATCACAATTAAATAATATTCACGTAAAACATCCTATTATACATAATAGAACATCTGTCAAAAACGTTTGACATTTGACGTATTAGCCGCCGTCCATTGTTTTATTTAAATTACGCTTCTACAAAAATTTTCAAATTAAAAATGTGAAGTTTCTACGCAATTTTGAAATAATATCTCACCTTTCCGACTACCTGCTGATTGGCACGAATTTTTCAAGACTAAGACTGGCCAAATCGGTTTAGCCGTTTTCAAGTTTTAGCGAATCATTTGATCGAGAGCTCCATTTTCATATATAAGATATTGAAGCGGCACAACTAGTGTGTAATTTTCAAAAACCGAATTTTCAATTTTTCCATATTTCGATAGGTTATACCTTTAAAAATAACATACCAAAATTTTAAATCGATATCTTAAATAGTTTTTGAGTCACAGCCATTTAAAGAGTATATATATATATATAGTATATAGTATAACGATCATTTTATCTTTAAACGCGTTCTTCTCGAAACAGCATTTTGCGAATTTGCTGCATCGATTACTCAAAAACAAATGATCCGATCGCTATCAGTTTTTTTTACATGTTCTATATATAGTTCTCCGTAAAATGAACTATCGATTTTTTGATCGGATTAAAAATCGAATTTTGGCAGTCCAAAAACGACCAAAATTTTGGGTAAAATTTGACTTTTTTTTTAAAAAACGCTGTCATTTTGTCAAATTTTGATTTTTTTTCTTTATCGTTGATGATTTTACAGACAATATTATCTAGTTTAACGAGAATTTTTTTTTTATTTCATTCACGTAGAAGGCCGGAATCACTGCAGCAGTGAAGGGCATTTTTTTGTCGCACCGTTGGAGATCGACGATAACTTAAAAAATATTTAAGTTTTTTCTTCAAAAATTTTACTATGTATTCTCAAAACAAGTATAATTATATTCCTAAAATTTTAAAATGATTGATATAGTATTTTTTTTAATATAAACTCCCAAAATCACCTTTTTTAGGCGGTTACACTAGTTGTGCCCCTTAAGTTTATTAATAATACTAAAATTAATTTATAAGTTAATTATTCAATAAAAATTTGTAGTAAACAATTGTATGAATGGCATCTGGCCTTATGATAATAATTATATATTATTATAAATAAATAAAAAAACCTGGTGCCTCCGTTTTGATCATTGAAAGCCCTAGAAACATCCCCTTCTCCGCTTGAAGATGTTGAAGCACCACCAAGTGCAGAGTTGGAAGCTGATGGTACAAACGGTGTGTAGAATTCAGTTTTGTCTGTCGAGTTAGGGTTGGCTGCTATTTGGTCCAGGGTGTAGGCTAGGGAAGTCGCCCAGGCACGAACATTTTCTTGCAACCCTAGTAAAAGATAATTTAGTAGTACGTGGGGAAAGTGAAAGTTAGTGTGCACTTACTTTCTCCAAGTTCAATGTTTGTAGATGTGTTTGATGTTCCTTTTCCTTGGGATATTACAGAACACAAGAGTTGTCCGCAGGTTATTATGTCTTTGCAATCGTCCAATGAAATCTCACCGTCGTCCTAATAAAATAAATAAATAAACTAGTGGTGTATGGCATTGTGCCTTAAGGCAAATTGCTGGAACTTTCCGTACCGTAATGAAATATTCGAGAAATTTTAAACGTGGTATTACAAATACTGTAACTTTCATTATTTTTGCATTTTCTTGTTATATCTGAGCACACCAAATGTAAATCATAAATCAATTTATCTCCAGAACATTAACAATCGTCATTTCATTTCGAATTCAATTACAAAAAAAAAAATATTTGCTAATTTACACAAAATTGAAAAAGTGCTCCAGTATAGTCACAGTCTAAACGCATTTGCAAATAATTCTGTGCGTCATTTTCACTTCGAATGTACTTAGCTTGGCGGCATTTTCACATTTTTCAATAGTTTTCACAAAATTGTAAAAGTCGTCCTGTACATAAACAGTCTAAACGCACTTGAGTAAACATTTGTACCAGAGTGGCGCTTAGACTGTGCTTAGCCTGGGTCATTATTTGAATTTTTGTATTTAGTATTTTTCATCATCAACTGTAATTAGCCAGACATGAAAATGAAAAGGACTCTACTGACAAGCAAACTAGATTTTACTTTATATGAACTGACGAGCAAACTGAAATACTCGTCTGCTCGTCAGTAAAGTCTCCTTTTATATATTTTAGCTTTTGCTCGTCAGTAAGGTCCTTTTATTAATTCTAGATAAGTTTGCTCGTCAGTGGAGTCCCTTTTTTAATTCTAGATTAGTTTGCTCGTCAGTAGAGTCCCTTTTTTAATTCTAGACTAAGTTTGCTCGTCAGTAGAGTCCCTTTTTTAATTCTAGACTAAGTTTGCTCGTCAGTAGAGTCCCTTTTTTAATTCTAGATTAAGTTTGCTGGTCAGTAGAGTCTCGTTTTTAATCCTACATCAAGTTTGCTCGTCAGTAGAGTTCCTTTTTTAATTCTAGATTAGCTTGCTCGACGGTAGAGTCTCTTTTTTATTTCTAGATTAGTTTGCTCGTCAGTAGACTCCCTTTTTTATTTCTAGATTAGTTTGCTCGTCAGTAGAGTCCCTTTTTTAATTCTAGATTAGTTTGCTCGTCAGTAGAGTCCCTTTTTTAATTCTAGATTAGTTTGCTCGACGGTAGAGTCCCTTTTTTATTTCTAGATTAGTTTGCTCGACGGTAGAGTCTCTTTTTTATTTCTAGATTAGTTTGCTCGTCAGTAGACTCCCTTTTTTAATTCTAGATTAGTTTGCTCGTCAGTAGACTCCCTTTTTTATTTCTAGATTAGTTTGCTCGTCAGTAGACTCCCTTTTTTAATTCTAGATTAGTTTGCTCGTCAGTAGAGTCCCTTTTTTTAATTCTAGATTAGTTTGCTCGTCAGTAGAGTCCCTTTTTTAATTCTAGATTAGTTTGCTCGACGGTAGAGTCCCTTTTTTATTTCTAGATTAGTTTGCTCGACGGTAGAGTCTCTTTTTATTTCTAGATTAGTTTGCTCGTCAGTAGACTCCCTTTTTTAATTCTAGATTAGTTTGCTCGTCAGTAGAGTCCCTTTTTTATTTCTAGATTAGTTTGCTCGTCAGTAGAGTCCCTTTTTTAATTCTAGATTAGTTTGCTCGTCAGTAGAGTCCCTTTTTTAATTCTAGATTAGTTTGCTCGTCAGTAGAGTCCCTTTTTTAATTCTAGATTAGTTTGCTCGTCAGTAGAGTCCCTTTTTTAATTCTAGATTAGTTTGCTCGTCAGTAGAGTCCCCTTTTTAATTCTAGATTAGTTTGCTCGTCAGTAGAGTCCCTTTTTTAATTCTAGATTAGTTTGCTCGTCAGTAGAGTCCCTTTTTTTTAATTCCAGATTAGTTTGCTCGTCAGTAGAGTCCCCTTTTTAATTCCAGATTAGTTTGCTCGTCAGTAGAGTCCCTTTTTTAATTCTAGATTAGTTTGCTCGTCAGTAGAGTCCCTTTTTAATTCTAGATTAGTTTGCTCGACGGTAGAGTCCCTTTTTTATTTCTAGATTAGTTTGCTCGACGGTAGAGTCTCTTTTTTATTTCTAGATTAGTTTGCTCGTCAGTAGACTCCCTTTTTTAATTCTAGATTAGTTTGCTCGTCAGTAGACTCCCTTTTTTATTTCTAGATTAGTTTGCTCGTCAGTAGACTCCCTTTTTTAATTCTAGATTAGTTTGCTCGTCAGTAGAGTCCCTTTTTTAATTCTAGATTAGTTTGCTCGTCAGTAGAGTCCCTTTTTTAATTCTAGATTAGTTTGCTCGACGGTAGAGTCCCTTTTTTATTTCTAGATTAGTTTGCTCGACGGTAGAGTCTCTTTTTTATTTCTAGATTAGTTTGCTCGTCAGTAGACTCCCTTTTTTAATTCTAGATTAGTTTGCTCGTCAGTAGACTCCCTTTTTTATTTCTAGATTAGTTTGCTCGTCAGTAGAGTCCCTTTTTAATTCTAGATTAGTTTGCTCGTCAGTAGAGTCCCTTTTTTAATTCTAGATTAGTTTGCTCGTCAGTAGAGTCCCTTTTTTAATTCTAGATTAGTTTGCTCGTCAGTAGAGTCCCTTTTTTAATTCTAGATTAGTTTGCTCGTCAGTAGAGTCCCCTTTTTAATTCCAGATTAGTTTGCTCGTCAGTAGAGTCCCTTTTTTAATTCTAGATTAGTTTGCTCGTCAGTAGAGTCCCTTTTTTTTAATTCCAGATTAGTTTGCTCGTCAGTAGAGTCCCTTTTTTAATTCAAAATTAAATTTGATCGTCAGTAGAGTCCCTTTTTTAATTCTAAACTAGTTTGCTCGTCAGTAGAGTCCCTTTTTTAATACTAAAATTGCGTACATACACACACACACATACATCCATTTAGTTTCTGAGGTATGCCCTTTAAAAATGTTCAGAAACCTTCAAAACGTCGAGAAATGCAAAATTTTTCCAATCTATAACTATCCTATTTATAAATATAATTTTTATCTACTCACTTTGACAACCGATAAAGGCAAAGAATTCTCTCCCAACATCTCCAATTTGGCGCAAGCATCCTCTGCAGTTTTCCTGAAATAATCAGGAGAGCAGGCAGTACCAGAAGCAGCCGGTTCGTCCAGCTCGTGCAGAGCTCGCCTTACATTGTCTGCTGCTGATTGGAGCAGGGCAGCATTTAGACGAGACACCAGGGTTGAGCGCTGTTTTTGTTCTAAGGGAAAATAAAGATAAAAAAAGGTATTTAATAGAGCTATATAGAAAAAAATAAGGTAAAATTAAGGTGACCGGAAGTCCCGGATTTACACCTAGTGTCCCGGGTTTATCTAAAAGCGATATTAAGCCCGGTGCACACAAAATTTAGAATTTTCGAGGTCAGAAAATGTTGTGAAATCAGTTTCCGACGTTGCTAGGCAACGGTTATAGACAGAAATTATGTTAGGGATACTGCCGTTGTGAATAGAGGGCTTAAACGTGAAATCCGGCTGGCAAGATCGTAAACTATATCGGGCAAGATCGCAAAAAATGATTTATCATATCGTTGCTAGGTAACAAACTGTCCGTATGCACTAACCAGGAAATCTGGCGTCGGGTGCACCGGGCTTTAGTCCCGGATTTAGATCTTTTGTTCCAGTTTTACGAAAATTAAACCAAAAATTATGCAAATAAACAAACAAGTGTTCAATTTTACAAACTAATTGTGAGGAAAATTGAATAGAATTTTATACAAGGCTCAAAAGCAAAAACAAACATATAAAAATAGAAGTCCCCAATATTTGTTGATAAAAAATGATTTACATAAAAAACTTTTTTCATTGTATCCTTAAATAGCAATTGTCATTTTAAATTGTTTTGTAATTTAAATACCCCTACCCCCGTCCCGAATTTTTGAAAAAATATGGTCACCTAGGGTAAAATAGATGATAACATTGCGTTGTCATGGCAACGCTATCATATCCTTCTTCCTCGGTACCAAAAACTGTTATAATGTTTGCTGTGCGATCAGGCATATTTTACATATAAAACAAGTTATCATAACATTCTTTCTAGGTTTGTTTATATGTAAAATACGCTTGATCGTACAGAAAAACATTTTCACAGTGTTTATTATTTTATTAATAATTTTATTACCATTTTGAACACAATCCTTGATCTGTTCACAAATCGCAATGCTCTCCTTGAGTTTATCATCCAATTCGTCCCTTTGTGACACCAAAGCAGTGACTTCATTCTCCATGATGGTCTTCTCACTGACGAGACAATCTACTTTTTCAACTAACGTCTGCAAAAAAAAAATCCATCATCATTTATATTTTATTATTCAAAAATTTTATTTATATTATTTATTAATTTTATTTTTATTATTATTTGCTTTCATTTTATATTAAATCATCATACTATGAATATTATTATCATGTAAATTCTATCCTTTGCACTCTTATTTATTTAAATTTATGTTATTATTTATCATTATTGCTAGATGTTAACTATTTAACAGTTGTAATAAATATTGTAATTAAAAAAAAAAATCATTTATATCTATTATTATAATTTATATTCTTACCATTTTTTCTTCCCTGATGTCTTCGCACTGTTTCCTCAGCTCTTGAATCTCCAACAAGTGTTTGCTGTTGATATCGCTTTGTGTGGTTTTCAGTTCAGCCATTTCTTTTAGCAAAGCTTCGTATTTTACACTTAAATCTAGGAAAAATAATATTTATTTTAGTACTGCAATTATTATTTATACAAAAAATTGTAAGTTGTGTTTTTAGTATTTACACACCACATGCAATATAAATGTTAATCGTGCAAATAATTAAAACATTAATAAGCAAACAGACTATTAAATAATTAAATAAATATTATATTAATTGTTATTATTAATTACAAAGCTTGCACATAGGGCAAAGATAGATTTTACAACTAACTAGCATTAATAAAATAAACTAGTGGTGTATGGCATCGTGCCTTAAGGCAAATTGCTGGAACCGTACCATAATGAAATATTCGAGAAATTTCAAACGTTTTCAAATACACCTAAGTCTGTTTTTACACGGAGATTGGTTCCAGAAGAAGCCGTGTAAAAAAAAAACCTGTAAAAAAGACATTGATCTTATACAAAAATGGGTGATTTGTCCTACTCTCTAAAACCTATTAAAATTAGTGAAAAACAAGAATTCATGTTTATTTGATTGAATAATAATTCCCCTAAATTAGTGCTATTCACATTTGCTTTGACCAGTAAAAATTGTTTGTACGCGCTAAAGGGGAATTCACTTAAATCTTTAAGCTAGTATTCGCAAACTATCGATACTATCGATGGTTTCAGACTTTTTTCTTTCATAAATACTTTTTTGTGATATGAACATACTTCGCAAAAATTAAATTTAACAAAAAAAAAAATTAAGTACATAAAATTTCAAATCGTGCTAAATGGAATCAAATCGTGTAAAAAAATTTAAAATATTCAATTTTCAAACCGTGTTATATCAAAACCGTGTACAAAAAGACCGTGTAAAAACAAACTTAGGTGTATATTATTACAAATACTGTAACTTTCAACATTTTTGCTATCTTGTTTTTTATATCTGAGCAAATCAAATGTAAATCATAAATCAATTTATCTCCAGTATATTAACAGTCGTCATTTCATTTCGAATTCAATTTCAAAAAAAATAGTTGCACAATAATTTATACAAAATTGAAAAAGTGCTCCCGTATAGTCACAGTCTAAACGCATTTGCAAATAATTCTGTGCGACATTTTCACTTATATTGTGCTTAGTTTGGCGGCATTTTCACATTTTTCAATAGTTTTCACAAAATTGGAAAAGTGCTCCAGTACATAAACAGTCTAAACGCACTTGGGTAAACATTTGTACCAGAGTGGCGCTTACAATGTGCTTAGCCTGGCTAATTTTTTGAATTTTCAATCCAAAATTTCAAAAATATTTTATGGTCCGCGTTTTCGGGCGCACGGATCAACCGATTTGAATGATCTAAAAAACATTCAATTTGTAATGATTGGGAGAAGTGGTTATTAGAGTTTTTGGCAAAGGCAGGCCTAGCCATTTCAAAGATACAGAGCTAAATGTTAAAAAAATGGCAGTTTTTGGAAGAACTAAGCGCCTGATTTAAATGATTCGAAGTACTTTCTGCTTGTTTCAACATAATAATTGCTAATATTAAAAAATATTTTCGTTCAAAAAATTCAAAAAATCACCCAGGCTAAGCACAGTGTAAGCGCCACTCTGGTACAAATGTTTACCCAAGTGCGTTTAGACTGTTTATGTACTGGAGCACTTTTCCAATTTTGTGAAAACTATTGAAAAATGTGAAAATGCCGCCAAACTAAGCACAATATAAGTGAAAATGTCGCACAGAATTATTTGCAAATGCGTTTAGACTGTGACTATACGGGAGCACTTTTTCAATTTTATGTGAATTAGGCAACTAAACTATTTTTTTGAAATTGAATTCGAAATGAAATGACGATTGTTAATGTTCTGGAGATAAATTGATTGATTTATGATTTACATTTGAATTTTGAAGTAGAACTTTTTAGGTTGGCGATGTATTAATTAGTAAAATAGAATTTTATTTTTGAAGTAAAACTTCTTAAGTCGCGATATAATATAGAGTCTGTTTTGATGCGTAAAAGAGACAACAGTATATAGTGAGAAAATCAGAGAGAGATATATAAAACACTAGTGCGAAAAAGAGCAACATATTCCTGACAGTGTAGAGTGACAGAGTAAGATATATGAGTACGATGTGACCACCAAATTTAAGGAACTACCTTTTTAAATGTAAATTTTTGATAAAAAGACAAGAGATACCAATTTTTGTTGTTAATAGAAATTGTAGATAATTTAATTGGCTATAAATTTGCTGAATATTGCAAAATGGTGGGACATTTCGTTTTGAAGTTATAAATAAATAAATAAAAATCGAGCTGGTCCAAAAGTGTGAAGCAAGATATACTAATGCAACCTCCAAAATTTAACAACAACCTGTTTCATTGCAAATTTTGGGTAAAAAGATATGAGATACAACATTTTGTTATTAATAAAAGTGGTAGATTATTTAATTGGCTATAAATTTGCTGAATATTGCAAAACACTCGGACAAATCGTTTAAAAGTTATAAATAAATAAATTAAAATCTAGCTGGTCCAAAACTATAAAGTAAGATATATTGATTTTGCATAATTTAAAAACAATTTTTTTAAATATAAATTTTGGATAAAAGAATAGGAGATAGAACATTTTGTTATTCATAAAAGTTGTAGATAATTTATTTGGCTATAAATTTGCTGGATATTGCAAAACAATCGGACAATTTGTTTAGAAGTTATAAACAAATAAATAAAAATCGAACCGGTCCAAAAGTATAAAACAAGATATATTAAAATGTAGCCTCCTCAATTCAACAACAATCAGTTTAGTTCTTATAAATGCCGCCAAGCTAAGCACAATATAAGTGAAACTGTCGCACAGAATTATTTGCAAATGCGTTTAGACTGTGACTATACGGGAGCACTTTTTCAATTTTGTGTAAATTATGCAACTATTTATTTTTTGAAATTAAATTCGAAATGAAATGACGATTGTTAATGTTCTGGAGATAAATTGATTTATCATTTAGATTTGACTTGCTCAGATATAACAAGATAGTAAAAATAATGTGGAATAATATATTAGAACACGTTTAAAATTTCTCGAATATTTCATTACGGTACGGGAAGTACCAGCGATTTGCCTTAAGGCGCGATGCCATACACCACTAGTTTCTTTATAAATGCCAGTTAGTTGTAAAATCTAGCATTTTGCAGGGAGGTTTTGCAGAATCCTGTTTCATACAGCTAGATAAAAATAGTAAAACCTTTAAGTGGCATGCGTAACAATTGACTTAATCAACCGCTATTAGCTATTTAGTTAAAAATTTAATATATCTATTATTACTACCAAAATATTCCCTCTTCTTTTCCCTCAAGCTCTCCTCCAGCATATGGATCCTGCGTACCATCTCAGCACACTGCTCATCGTACACTTTCTTCCTCTCCTGAAACGTCTCACAAAACTCCTTCTCTCTCGCCTTCAAATCATCATTATCCTTCTCCACCTTCAAACAATTCTCCATCAACTTATCCACCCGAACAACCAACTCCACCTTCTCATTCTCGATGCACTCCTGAATCTTCTTCAGAGCCTCCACATCATTCCTGGTTACCAGGAGATCGTTTTGGAGACTCTGGTTCTTGTGTTGAAGTTCTTGGTTCAAAAGTTCGATTTGGGATTTGTCTTTGGTTAAGTCCGAGTAGGATTTGGTGAGGTCTTCGTATTGGGTTTTGATTTCGGACAGGATTTCGTTTTGTTGTTGGAGGTTCTGGATGGATTTGTTGAGCTGTTGGTTTTCGTCCAGTTGTTCCTGGGACTGGACTTGGAGGATTTGTAAGGACTTCTCGGTGGTTTCTTTGTACCGGGAGACTTCTTCGTATTGGGATTGGAGGGCGGTAAGTTTGGCATGCAGTTCTAGAATGTTAGTATAGGACCATGCAAAGATAGTTAGTACATTTAACATGCTATAAACTAATATAAGTATATTAACATGCAATGATATTATTCATGTCTGGGGTTAGTAATAGTTTAGCAAAACTTACCAGCACTCTGCTGTTGACTTTTGTCCTCTACCAGCCTCTGACCCTCTTCGAGTTGTGCCTTTTCCCTGACGATCACTGCTAATTGTTTGTCGACGTCTGCTTTCTGTAAAAATAACAAACTAGTTAAGAAAAATTGCTGGAACTTCCCGTACCGTAACAAAATGTTCGAGGAATAAAAATGTTTATTATGAATATTGTAACATTGTCCAATATTTATAAGAATTATATAAACTGAATTGAAAAGTTAAAATTATTTATTTAAAGTATATAAGTAAGCTTTAGAACTTTAAACTTTAAAATCCGAATTGTTTTAGATATACAAAAAAAAAATTTTTTTTGAAAAAAAAATAACTTTGGAATAAACTAGTTTTTTTTTTTTAATTACAATATTTATTACAACTGTTAAATAGTTAACATCTAGCAATAATGATAAATAATAACATAAATTTAAATAAATAAGAGTGCAAAGGCTAGAATTTACATGAAAATAATATCCGTTGTATGATGATTTAATATAAAATAAAAGCAAATAATAATAAAAATAAAATTAATAAATAATATAAATAAAATTTCCGAATAATAAAATAATACTAAAAAAACAATAAAATATAACAAAATAACAATATTAGAATAAGATAATAATAATATTATTTAAACTAGTGGTGTATGGCATCGTGCCTTAAGGCAAACTACCAGAACCTCCCGCACCGAAAAAACTTTACAAAACTTTGAAAAAATTAGAATTTTGAGAAATTTTGAAAAAATTTGACTTTTGCGAAAAATTTGTTTTTTTTATTTTTAGATTTTTCTGTATTTTGATTTTTTTTTTTTGAAAATATTGAACATTTTTTTGTAAGCGTTCGCGCTGCATATCTGATTTGGTCTAGTTTTTGTCCCTTTTTGCCCCGTATCTCCGAAACGACTAGACCTGTCTTTGCTAAAAACTAATCAACACGTCTTCTTATCGATAGAAATCGAATGTTTTTTGAATTATTCAAATCGGTTGATCCGTGTTCGCAAAATCTTTATACATTCATACTACATACATACATTTTTTCGGAGGTATGACAAAATGTTCAGAAACCTCTTAAACGTGAAGATATATAAAAATTTTCATTTTCGTTTTTTTTGCGATTACTATAACTTACCCTACGGAAAATAAAAAAAATAATCCCAAAAACTAATTGCTTTTACAACACAAGCAAAGAGTTTTTTGAGTCATTCAAATCGGATGCTTAGTTCTCTCAAAAACTGCCATTTTTTGCACATTTAGCTCGGCATCTCCGAAACGTCTAGACCTGCCTTTGCAAAAAACTAATCACCACTTCTCCTTGTTATTACGAATTGAATGTTTTTTGAATTATTCAAATCGGATACTCCGTTCTCTCAAAAACACGATTTGTATTTTCTGCACTCTTTACTCCGTATCTCCGAAACGGCTGGACCTGCCTTTTCCAAAAACTAATCGACACGTCTCCTTATCAGCAGACACACACACAAACCCACACATGCACATATATCCTTGGGACTTCGCTCATTTCAAAGACAAGTATAAAATCAGTGTAGGAATGACAACATTCTAGATCCTCCCCCCACGAAGTAATGCCTTATGTGGTTTCCATTTAGGTTTTGGTTGGTATTATATCAGGGCGGTATTGAATCTGACATACCCAGACAAAAGACCCAGTCTGGAATGCATAAATGCTATAAAAAACACACACACACACATCTACTTTTTCTGAGTCACGCCGAAATGTTCAGAAACCCTTGGAGCAAATTTGCTCCAAATTAGATTAAGGTTACCATGACATTTTTAATAAAGAAACAAAAGAATGTATGAATATAAACTCATATATTATTATAGATCGATGTTTAATAAATCATCGCAGAATAGAAAAGTATTGAGTTTTAATTAAATATACATTTAGTTATTTATGGAACGCGCTCCACCACTGAAACGCGAAGAAATTCAAAAAATTTCATTTTTAATTTTTGGCCCATTACTATAACCTACTCTACGGGAAGTTAACTTAAAAGAATAATTTTATACAAGAACATCTTAAATTTTCTTACCTGTCTCAACAGATTGACATGCTCATCCCTAATATTCGTGTACAATTCTTTCAACCGTTGGAATTTTTCCTCCTGCATCGCGGACTTTCTTTCCAACTCTTCAGCCTTTGCTGAAACTGAAAATAGAAAATAAAACGGTTATGATGTCTAAACACTTACCGGGCAATTCTGCCTCATAAAATAGCATTGTCTTATTTTATGCTTGTTTCTTGTTAGTGAAACTGTGAAAATATTTATCTATTTGCTGTGCGATCAAGCGTATTTTATATATAAACACAGCAAGAACTAGTTGGTTTGGTATTTAGCCTTGAGGCAAGTTACATGAACTTCCCGATATGTGTAAATAATCGACTTAATCAATAAAACTAAATTAATTTATGAGTGATTAAAAGTATTGTGAGTAGATTTATTATACATAATTGAAAACGAGCGTACACTTTGACACGGTGCATTTTCTAAAAGTAAATTTTCAGAAATCAACAATTGTTATAATTGAACCAGTTTCCATAGGACTTTAATGGCTTGATAAGTTCATTAAAACCAAGTACTCTATCGTTATACCAAGTAAAATCGTCCAATTTCAATTTTAACAAACGTCAAAAATACTACTCATTTTCTTAAACTTTGATGAATTTTTAAAATTAAACTACTTGTCGTAAGGCCGTAATATTACAGTAAGTTCTATAAGACCATGATGTATATCGCCAAAAAAAGTAGATTTTCAACTAAAATTAATCAGTACCATTCCCAACTAATATATTTCGAACAGTTTTTGATTTTTTAAAATCGGTTAGGTAGGATGAGCATAAATGTGAACAAAAAGTTTAACACTTTTTTTCAAATTACAAAGAAACGGCTTTGCAGATCGTCGCACAAAACTGACAAACGATAGTGCTCATCGAAATACATCAAATAGCTTTTAAATTTCTGAAATCGGTTCAGGCATTTTTGAGAAAACGTCGATGAAAGTTTTAATTTTGACAAATGCCAAAAAAACGATACCAATTTTTGCAAACTTTGACGAATTTTTAAAGCTAAACCAGTTGTCGTAGGGCCGTAATATTTTAGTATAATCTAGAAGACTATAGTATCTAACGTCAAAAAAATAATCATAAAAATCGTCGATTTTTTTTTTTAAACTTTATTACAAGAAAACGGCCCGGCCGATCTCTACCAAAAACTAATCAGCACGATTCCCAACCAATATCTTTCGAACGATTTTTGAATTTTCAAAATCGATTCAGAATTGCGGGTTAAAACGTAGACGAAAATTTTTCACTATTCTGCGATTTATAAAAAAACGGCTTGGCCGATCGTCCCACAAAACTGACATACATCGAGTGGCTTTTAAATTTTTGAAATCGGTCCAGCCGTTTTCGAGAAAACGTCGATTTACGGCAAAAAATCTGTTCACACACACACACACACATACTTTTTCCAAATTTGGTCTCATTCGATTCAGAATGGCTTGAAACGTCGAGAAAACATAAAATTAGCAATTCGGATTTTTTAATGAAAACATAAACTTCTCCTTTGGGAAGTTAAAAATCTTATGATAACTGCACCATGTGGTTTTCTGTTATCATAACATTCTTCCTTGCATAGGTAGACATTTTCACTACCAATATACAAGCATAAGATAGCGTTGTCATGACAACGCTATTGTATAAGGCAGAATAAGTTAAGTAATATTTACTGATTCATTTACCTTCCTTCTGCGATACAGCAACTATATCCTCCATTTCCTTCTTGGCCTTCTGCTCCATCTCCAATTGTTGCTCGGCAACAATCAATCTGGCCTGCAATTGTTCAAACTGACTTTGCATTGCTTCCGTCCTGGCCCTTGCGTTGGCCATTAATTGATTTAATTGGGCACTAAAAAAACAACAAACAAACCATAAAGACTAACTAGTTTTTAACTTCCTTTAGAGTAGTTACAGTATGGGCCGAAAATCGAAAATGAAAATTTTTGCATTTCTCGACGTTTCGAAGGTTTCTGAACATTTTTAAGGGGCATACCTCAGAAACTAAATGGATGTGTGTATGTTTTGTATGTCCGCATTTTTAGTATTAAAAAAAGGACTCTACTGACGAGCAATCTAATCTAGAAATAAATAAGGGACTCTACTGACGAGCAAAAGGATAGAGAATTAATAAAAGCGACTCTACTGACAAGCAAACTACTCTAGAACTAAAAAAGGGACTCTACTGACGAGCAAAAGAATAGAGAATTAATAAAAGGGACTCTAGTGACGAGCAAACCAATCTATAATTGAAAAAGGGACTCTACTGACGAGCAAACTAATCTAGAATTAAAAGAGGGACTCTACTGGCGAGCAAAAGGATAGAGAATTAATAAAAGGGACTCTACTCACGAGCAAACTAATCTAGAATTAAAAAAAAAACTCTACTGACGACCAAACTAATCTAGTATTAAAAAAGGGACTCTACTGACGAGCAAACTACTCTAGAATTGAAAAAAAAACTCTACTGACGACCAAACTAATCTAGAATTAAAAAAAAACTCTACTGACGGCCAAACTAACCTAAAATTAAAAAAGGGACTCTAGTGACGAGCAAACTAATCTAGAATTAAAAAAGGGACTCTACTGACAAGCAATCTAATGTAGTATTAAAAAAGGGACTCTACTAACGAGCAAACCAATGTAGAAATAAAAAAGGGACTCTACTGACGAGCAAACTAATCTAGAATTAAAAAAGGGACTCTACTGACGAGCAAACTTAATCTAGAATTAAAAAAGGGACTCTACTGACGAGCAAACTTAATCTAGAAATAAAAAAGGGACTTTACTGACGAGCAAACTAATCTGGAATTATAAGAGGGACTCTACTGGCGAGCAAAAGGATAGAGAATTAATAAAAGGGACTCTACAGACGAGCAAACAAATCCAGAATTAAAAAAGGGACTCTACTGACGAGCAAAAGCTAAAATCTATGAAAGGGACATTACTGACGAGCAGACGAGTATTTCAGTTTGCACGTCAGTTCATATAATGCAATATATATATATATATATATATATATATATATATAGTCAGTAGAGTCCCTTTTATTTTCATATCTGATAAAATACAGTTGATGATGAAAAATACTAAATACAAAAATTCAAAAAATTGCTTAGGCTAAGCACAGTCTAAGCGCCACTCTGGTACAAATGTTTAACCAAGTGCGTTTAGACTGTTTATGCATTGGAGCAATACAACTTTTCCAATTTCGTGAGAAAACTATTGAAAAATGTGAAAATGCCGCCGAGCTAAGCGCGGTATAAGTGAAAGTGTCGCACAGAATTATTTGCAAATGCGTTTAGACTGTGACTATATGGGAGCACTTTTTCACTTCTTGTTTAAATTAGGCAACTATTTTTTTTTTTTTGAAATTGAATTCGAAATGAAATGACGATTGTTAATGTTCTGGAGATAAATTGATTTATGATTTATGATTTACATTTGATTTGCTCATATATAACAAGATAATGCAAAAATAATAAAAGTTACAGAGTATTTGTAATAATATATTTGAAAACCTTTAAAAATTCTCGATTATTTCATTACGGTACGGAAAGTTCCAGCAAATTTGCCTTAAGGCACGATGCCATACACCACTAGTTTATGAATGAAATCTTATCCATTTACTTACTTTAATCTAGCAATTTCCCCCTGCAGCTCGTGTATAAGTGCGTTCCTCTCCCGAATCAAATCGTGCAAATCAGCATCCTGCTGAATTGGTGGAGCAGGTTCCGAAGAGACATCCAGCAAAACCTCCTCTCGCACAGGTTCCTCGGGTTCAGGTTCTGGTTGCCTCACCTCGACAACCGGTGTAATGTAGGTGCCCAGACCATTCAGTTCTAGAAAATTCGGGGGCCTCTGTAAAAAATAATAAAGGACTCATGATTTAATAATAAAAATTTAATCATTATAATGTGGTTTAGTTATGACAGTTTTACCCACTTTGGGCAATCTGGGTATCTTTATAAGCCTTGCAAAGTACTCGTAGTCCCTGGCCTTGTTGTAGAACTCTTTCAGTTTAACAAACTGTTTCTGAAATCTGTCACGATGTCCACTGAGGGTGTCTGGTTGCAAAAACGAGTGCAACTTGAATAGAAGCTTCACTGAGAAATCGTAGAGCTGGTTTGAATCCTAAGAAAAAAAAATTGATGGTATTGTAAAATATTTAAAATAATTTCATTTAAGTCTATTGGACCGATTCTGCCGCATAACTGACCAATGTTACGGCAAGGCCATGTTATGAAGAGCTTTAAATAATAAATATTGACAAAAACCATGTGGTTGTTGTGCAGTCAGACGTGTTTCTCAGGTTGTCAGATAGAAAACCTAACCTAGAAACCGCACAAATGTCAAAAAAACGATCTTAGATAACAGGGTCTTTCTGACTCGGCTTCATAACATACGAGTGACGTTGCAGTTTATGTGTAAAACGCTTGAATGAACAGCAAATACATAACATTTTGACAGTATTCAGTATGATTCAGCAGCATAATGTATACAAATGAGCGTAACATGGCCTTGCCAGAACATTTTTCTGTTATGTACACAAATTAATTTATTACAATAATTTTTGATATACCTGTATACATGGTATCAGAGGAGCTAGACGACATTGTCCAGTACTTGTCATCGAAGACACATTGTTGAGACTGTTTATAACTGCAAAAATTTAAATGAACTAATAACATACATTATCGACACATTTAATATATTAATATAACGAATTATATACTGTGCTGTATTCCAACTGATTTATTTATTTAATTTTATAAAGTAAATCTTTAATGTAGATAAGAATAAAGGAGGCCTTATGATTGATCCTTAGGGAACGCCCATTGTTCTTGTTAGGGCGCGTCCAATAATCACGTGGGGTTTTTAAGGGGAAAAGAGCGTTTGACAAAAATCACGAAATATCACGTGGTGAGTTCAGTAAGATATCAAGTGCATTTATTTTTGTCCTGATTTAAAAAAAAATCCAAACATTTTCAAGAAAAATCAAATATTTTACAATTTTTTCTCGTAACTAAAAATTCACGTGATGTTTGGTGGGGGGAGAAGGAGTAATTTTGAATATCACCAAAAGCAGTGGTCCAAAAATTCTTAAAAAAAACGATCACGTGATTAATGGACGGCCGTTTATCAAAGTAAATCTTTTATGTAGATAAGAAACAAAAGAAACCCTATGATCGATCCTTGTGGCACCCCTAATGTTACCGTTAAATTGTAAAAAAATACATTTCTCAAAATTGTCATAATATTTTTTTTCGAAATCGTGCTCATTATTTAATTAAATCTTTTGAGTTCATTGGACAAGTAGATTAAATACTTTAAAAAATCATCGAAATTAAGTTAGGACCTAAAATTGATCCTTGTGGTACGCCCAATATTCTCGGTAATTTGTCAGAAAATATTTCTCGTGCTCGTGCTCAATATTTAATTAAATCCTTTAAGTTTAATTATGCAAGTATGATTTAAATAGCCTAAATACTCATCCAAATTTGGTTAGGTCCTAAAATCGATCCTTTTGGCACACCCAATCTTCACGTTAGAATTATTTCTCGTGTTCGTGCTCATTTAATTAAATCCTTTGAGTTCAATTACACAAGTATGATTTAAATAGCCCAAATACTCGTTCAAATTTGATTTAGGTCCTAAAGTCAATCCTTGTGGCACGCCCAAAGTACTCGTTAAATTGTCATAATATTTTTTTCTCGTGTTCGAGCTCAATATTTAATTAAACGCTTTGAGTTTAAAGTTTTATTTAAATTTGTTTAATTTAAATACCCTAAAAATCTTCAAAATTATATTTAGGACCTAAAATTGATCCTTATGGCACACCCAATGTTCTCGTTTATTAGACTAAAATTATTTCTCGTTTTCGTGCCTAATATTTAATTAAACCCTTTGAGTTCAATTACATAAGTATGATTTAAATACTTTAAAAAATCATCGAAATTATGTTAGGACCTAAAATCGATCCTTGTGGCACGCCCAATGTTATCGTAAAATTGTTAGATTTTTTTCTCGAGTTCGTGCTCATTATTTAATTAAATTCTTTGTTTTCATTGGACAAGTAAGATTTAAATACTTTAAAAAATCTTCGAAATTAAGTTCTGGGCCTAAAATCGATCCTTGTGGCACGCCCAATGTTATTGTTAAATTGTCAGAATTTTTTTCTCGTGTTCGTGCTCATTTTTAAATTAAATCTTCTGAGTTCATTGGACAAGTAAGATTTAAATAACTTAAATAATCATCGAAATTAAGTTAGGACCTAAAATCAATCCTTGTGGCACGCCCAAAGTTATCGTTAAATTGTCAGATTTTTTTTCTTCGTGTTCTTGCTCATTATTTAAGTTCTTTGAGTTCATTTGGACAAGCAAGATTACGATATACAAAAAAAATATTTTTGAAAAAATTAAAAAAAAATTGAAATAATTTTTTTTGTAAAAACAAGCAGAATGTTTTTTGAATCATTCAAATCGGATGCTTAGTTCTCTCAAAAACTGCCATCTTTGGTACATTTAGCTCCGTATCTCCTAAACGGCTGGACCTGCCTTTGCCAAAAACCAATCACCACTTCTCCCCGTCATTACGAATTGAATGTTTTTTGAATCAGCAAATCGGATACTCCGTTCTCTCAAAAACTCATCGATTTTTACTTTCTGCACTCCTTGCTCCGTATCTCCGTAACCACTGGATCTACCTTTGCCAAAAACTAATCAGCACATCTCGCCATCAATAGCAATCGAATGTTTTTGGAACCATTCAAATCGCTTGATCCATGTTTCCGAAAACGTGGATAAAAGATTGTATCCGCACACGCAAAATTATGACAATTTAACGATAACATTGGGCGTGCCACAAGGATTTATTTTAGGTCCTAAATCTGGTTTGAATGATCATTTACTAAATTTTACTAATTTTAAGTTTCATCCACTTACTAGATTCCTGCAAAGTCAATATATCATCCATGTAATCAAATATCTCCACCGACAATTGAAAGCTGAAAACACAAAATAAGTCATTGGCAATCATAAACTTGATATTGACTATTAATTAACACTTACTAATTATTAATGTCTTCTCCGTAGATTTTATTTAAATCTTCAAAAGACAACAATAAATTTCCCGGCATGTGCGGATTCCGATGATGAAAATCAATTTTTGTTAACATCAAATTACAATAGAGCTGGATTAGTTTTCCGTAACCTTCTTGTAAATGACCCTGAAAAATAAAATATATATATTAAGACGACATTTTCGAGTTTCTTTGCTCCCAAGGGCTCAAATGCTTCCAAAATAATAAAAGAAAATTCTCTGTAAGTTTTAGCGCTTAATATTAACATTTAGATCGTCCGCAATTGAATTAAAAGTATACGAAACTTTTGAATTGAATTGCGGACTATCTAAATATTAATATTAAGAGCTAAAACTTTTACAAGATTTTCTTTTATTACTTTGGAAGAATTTGAGCCCTTGGGAGCAAAGAAATTCTACTTATAGCATATGTTTTATTATTATTACCCATAGCTTCCCAACATTTAGTATAAGTTCCTTATGCCGAATGGCTCCTGGTAAACACAGATGGAAACCTTCACGAAGTACCTAAAAATAAAACAAATGGCATCAAATATACAAATTAATTTAGAGTTTTCTAATTATTTTTTTTACCTTGTGTAAGACATAACAAAACTTCCAGGCAACAATTCTGTGTTCGAGCAAGGGTTGTCTTAACATGACTGTCCAAAATGCAGAACCGCCTCGACAGTGGTATGTACCTAGTAAAAAAATTATTTATATATATATATATATATATATATATGTATGATAATAGTTGACATATGTATTAACAAAGTCTAGTAATCAGGCATAACATCAATAAGAACATAAATTTCTTTCTTTCAAAAATTTATTTTAAATCCATACGTTTCGTAGTTTTTAAAAATATAAGATATTTCATAAGTGTTTAAACAATTTTTCAAGATATTTACAAAAAACTATAGAAGTGTCCACGTTTTTAGTGCCTACTAAAACAAGATTGGTTTAACCATCAAAATATTAATAGTATATTCATTGCAATATAATGCATAATTTTACTTTATCTAGGTATATATTTTATGATGCAGTTTTGTAGAGAATTTTATATAAATTTTAAAAATGTTAAATATTGTATTAGTGTCCAAACAAATTTTCGAAATATTTGCAAAAAAAAAAATAGTAATGCCCAAGATTATAATGCATTAAGTTTGGTTTGACCATCGAGTTATTAATTGTAAATTCGTTGCAATTTCATGAAAAATTTTACTATTATAAGGTACGTTTTTTTTAATGCAGTATGTTAGAGAATTTTATGTTCTTTTTAGACATGCAAAGTATATAATATGTGCTACGACAAATTTTCGAGATATTCGCAAAAAACTGTAAGTGTCCACGATTATGATGTCTAATAAGTTCGATTTGATCATCGAGTTATTAATTGTAAATTTGTTGCAATTTTATTCAAAATTTTACTATAATATTGTATATATTTTTTGAAGCAGTTTTATAGAGAATTTTATATAATTTTTAAAAATGTAAAATATTTAATAAGTGCTAAAACAACTTTTCGAGACATTCGCAAAAAACTGTAGAAGTGTCCACGATTATGATGCCTATTAAGTTAGGATTGAGCATCGAGTTATTAATTGTGAATTCATTGCAATTTTATGCAAAATTTTACTATTACATGGTATATTTGTATTAATGCAGTAAGGTAGAGCCTTTTTAGATATGTAAAATATTAGATAAGTGCTAAAACAAATTTTCGAGATATTCGCAAAAAACTATAAAAGTCCACAAAACCACAATTATCAGTTTGGTTTGACCATCAAGTTATTAATTGTAAATTTGTTGCAGTTTTAAGCAAAATTTTACTATAATTTTGTATATTTTTTATGCAGTTTTGTAAAGAATTTTATGTAGTTATAAATGCAAAATACTTAATAAATGTTTAAACAATTTTTTAAGATATTTGCAAAAAACTATAGAGTTATTTTTATACTAAAAATATTAGACTAGAATTAATTTTTATAGCAAAATAACGTTTGCCGGGTCAGCTAGTATATATATATATATATATATGTGTGTGTGTGTGTGTGTTAGGCAGATGAAATTATATAATTGAGTTTAATAAATAACGCAACAAGACAAAATTGCATATACATTATTTTTTTAAACTTATGCATGTCGCATTTTGGTTTAGTTTACTGAATTATTTAACAATGCAAAAAATATTTCTACATATGTATTAACAAAGTCTAGTAATCGGGCATTTCGGCTATAATCCTAGCCTTCATTCAGTGTAAACTAAAAATAAAATTGAAATCTAAAGCAATTGAATTGGAGTGAAAAGAAAAAACAAAAAGAGTAAATAGTACTTACAATTAGTTAATCTTAGTGTTAAATTTGAAGAGTTTATTAATCCATGGTATCAGGATATGGTAATGCACTACACTATGTATTATAAACATTAAATTTGTAATTACACAATATTTTCCAAAAATACTAATTTAAAAAATCACAAATAGATAGTGGGTTGTTCGTAGACTGGTTGAAGAAATAATGGAAAAAAGACTTTTTAAAAAATATTTTTACCAAGATTCTACACATGTGTGGAACGAATTGCAAATCCTTTGCGCGACGTTTTTATTGTTTTGTGAGAAATTTTGTTTGAAAGAGGTTTGTATCGCACAGCGTGTTAAGTTCATTCCTTTTATTTATCGTTTTATTGTTATAAATAGTTAAAAAAGATCCTTCTATAATTCTTCGTTTGAATAAATTTTGTTCGAATTGTAGTAGAGTCGGATTAGAAAAGTCCATATAGTGTTTTAAAGTATGCTCCGCAATCATTGTTTTAAATTGTCTTGGATTGTTTGAATTGTTTCATTTCAACGCAGGAGACATCAGAATTCATTTTAGAGGTATGGTTTCTTCAGCAAAGTATCATATATATTATATATATATATATTATATATATATATATTAGCACTTTTTCACAGTTCTCAAGTGGTTTCACGTGTTTAATGTGACTCAGATTTAGTTTATTACCAACAGCCGATCTCATAACATCGAGAGAATAATATTGTTTTGTGTTTTCAAATAATAATTTTAAAAAAGACAAAACTTATAGTAATTTTGATTTACAAAATTTTACCTATTCGGCTGAAAAATAACACACACACATATATATATATATATATATATACAGTAGGGCGGGTCGATTTAAAGGTCACGTAGGCACATATAATTTTTGGATACTAGGGATCAAAATAAGATACTTTGCTGAAGAAACCATACTTCTAAAATGAATTCTGATGTCTCGTGCGTTGAAATAAAACAATTAAAAAAATCCGAGACAATTTAAAACAATGATTGCGGAGCATATTTATACTTTAAAACACAATATGGACTTTTCTAATCCGACTCTACTACAATTCGAACAAAATTTATTCAATATATATTATACATACATATATATATATATAAATAAAATATATATATATATATATATATATAAATATAAATTCTTACCTATAATCGCAGCCCTTATGTGTTTCTCCTTCACAGGGCTCTCGATCATGCTGACAGCCTTTCCTATGCTGATATTCTGAAAAAAAAACATTCACCAATATATTAATATCTAATATCTAATTTAAGACCATTACATTTAAGGGTTGATTCTGCCCTAAAATAACTAATGCTACGTAATGTTTCTCATATAAAATGATACTAAAAACTGAATAATCACACAGATTGCTCTATACTAGCTAAACCGTAAAAGATACGAAAAAACTTTGTTCGTACGAAAGATGCAGAATAAAATTACGAATAAAATTGTATATAAACGGTTAAGTGTGTTCATATAATTTTCTCGAGATTTTCCAATTTTCCTTGAATTTTTACGACTGCTACTCGCCTGTAGGTCACACCCTGCAAATTCGAAGTTGCGATATATGGAAAAAGAACTAAGAATTTTGAGACCTTTTAAAATAAATAGACAATCTAACCTAAAAAACGCACAAACGTCATAAATGAATCCTATCATAAGTGCT